TCTCACCATTTCTTAGTATTAAAGTATAGATAATTGACTATAACTAAGAGTTTCTCACCATTTCTTTGCACAGTAAGTTGAGGATTTGCACCAGCAGGACTCCGGCTTGGCCCAGAGGAATCAAAGGTTTGGAAATCTCCCTGGAGGAACAAAGGTCAAACACAGGTTAACATCAAGTAGCCAGAAAGGGATGTTCTCCTGCAGATTTGTCCCATGTGAGGAGGGGGCTTCTAACCTGAAAAGCTCCCCCATGGGGATGCCTCCCTCGTGCAGCATGGGGGAGATCAGCTCTGCCAGGTACAGCCAGATGTGAGGGATGTCGATGGCCATGTCTTCAGCCACCTCCAGGATCTCCTGCAGCCTGAGGACACACAGCGAGGACACATTTAAGCGTTTATTTATAGGATGAAGCACAAATTTAAACGCACTCAAACAATGAGAAGACTAAGCATAAAGGCATCACATAAGTTTAAAGAATAAAAAGAGAGAAATTAGACTTTTTGAGAGTAATTTTAAATCCTGACGTTCTAAACATTACTTTTATTTTATCAATCTCCTGCCGCCTGAGGTCACAGCGAGGACACATCTAAACGTTTATTTATAGGTGAAGCACAAGTTCAAACGCACTCATGCAATCTTTTGCAATATTTTGCAATATTTAATTTGAAAAAGCAATGGGTTTTTTCTTGTGTTTTTTAAAACTTAAATTGAAAAAGCGTAACAAAACAGGTGGATTGAAACCAGTGTTGGGTGTAACGCGTTACAGTAACGTAACTACTTTTGCCGGGTAAAAAGTAGTGTAACGCGCTACTATGGAACATTTGGTACGTAACGTAGTTTCTTCTTCAATTCGCCGCAACGTTACTTTTTCAAGGGACGAGTGACAGTGACACTGCCTACTCCGCTTACGCATTAGGCACAAGCTCTCATTCCACACTGTACGTGATAGAGGCTGGCCGCTGGTGGTAGCATGAAGACTGAAGAGCAGCAAGCGAGAAGCAAGCGAGAAGCAGGCGCAGCCAACGCTAACATTCGAGGGATGGAGGTATTCCCATTACTTCGAACTTGTTGAAACTAAGGGGAAACATTTGAGTGTAAGGTGTACGTTGTGCCCTGGCCAGAAACTTGTGTCCACTGCCGTTAACTCCACTGCCGTTAACTCCACTGCCGTTAACTCCACTGCCGTTAACTCCACTGCCGTTAACTCCACTGCCAACCCCACCAAGCATTTGAAAGGAAAACATGCTAGCAGGAAGCTAGTAGCTCAAGATCCCCGGGGAAATGATGATATTTCGAGTCCCAGCCTGTTTAGTAGCCTATTGATATGATTTGCACTAGCTTTGCACCTATTTTGGGGCTAGCCTGTAACCCTTAATGATTATGATTTTATATTGATATTGTTTGATATTATTGTTTTAGTGGTGGTGTTGACGCCTATAGCCCAATGTTTTGTTAAGTGCTCTGTGGCATTTTTTATAATAAAGAGCACAAAAGACATATCTGTTAGAACTTTATGTACGCCTACACATTTAGGAACAGAGATGGGGTTCTGCCCAAAGTCGAGCAACATAAAAGTAACGAGTAACGTACAAAGTTACTTTCCTTGGAGGGTAACTAAGTAAGGGATTACTTTTTTAAAGAAGTAACGAGTAACGAGCAAACACTACTTTTTAAAAGTAACTTCCCCAACACTGATTGAAACACACCTACACCCCAGTTTCACATGTCTACTCCCTCCAGAGAGTTCAACTGAAACTAACCTCGATCCTCATCTCAAACTTTGTCGTTTTGAATTGAACGTTTATTTGCTTGGAAAGTCGTTAAAATAGATGCTTAAGAGGCGTGGGAACCCTCGTGTTTTCTGTGACAGGGTATATGCAGGAATCCTGAAGTCAAATTTAATACCTTTTAAGACCTTTTTTAAGAGCCTTTCCATACATTTTAAGACCTCATCGCAACTTCGAGTTCTAACCGGTTACATTGGCGACACACTTTACCTCACATTTACTATATTGATTGTAAGATAGCACAACTAAACAGAGTGCAGACAGACTACTGAAGCCTCCTCTCCACATGAACTTCAACCTCTCTGTGAAGGTCAGGTTTAATGCAGTATGCTGCTCTGTTGCTTCTGTACTCTGTGCTCTTTCATTCCAGTAGAACTCCTCAGAAACCAGTATTTGACCAATAAACAAAACAATTGACAAAACTTTGAATTATGAAATATATTAAACTTTGGTGAGCTTCAGCGGGGTAATGCCATATAGGAGCTCCCTCACAAATACCCAGGGGTTAAATTGGACTGGGGCTGTCCGGGGCTAAGCCCGGCACATAGGACGATGCTCTGACGTCATCACCCTCACACATTTGTCATATGTTTACAAAAAACGATATATATGTTAAGACTTTTCTCCTTCTTAATATATAGACTATATTTAGGGTCGATATGTGTTGACCTTACTTTAAAATAGCAGATCTCTGTGACCGGATATAGTTTGGCCTAGACCCCGGCCCTACGAGGACGCATACAGTAAAACCTTTATATATACAGTCTATGAGTAAAACGCATTCACACGCATTCGATTCATTGACGTGCGTCCGTTCACACTAGACCGCTGGAAATGCTGTAGTACATATGCCAGGCCTGTAAGTGGCGCTGCTGCCGCCACAAAATACACCAAAAGCAGCGAAGAAGACCCCGGAGCATGGTTGTCCTTCTGTTTATTCTCCGCGTGTTCTCCTGCTGTAGATCTCTCAGGTAGTCCACCAGCAGATAAACCCCCCCCCCCCCCGCACAGAGCGGAGCAAGGCAACGAAACTTAAAATAAGAAGCAGCATTTTATGGCACGCTATGCATGGGGCCACCTTGAGGGGGTTTCCCGACATGTTGTTTCAGTAAATTAAAGGGTGTTTCATGTTGTCGTTGCTGTGGACCTTCTTAATACCTTGGAAATGCCGTTTAATATTTTTTAATAGCCTTAATTTTCGCTAAATTGATTTATCAACTTGTAATACTTTTTAAGACCCCGCGGACACCCTGTGTGAAGTTGTAAACACCTTTTACACACGATATACAACATTATAAATACACATTCCTCCCCCCCTCACTGACCCGTTGTAGTACTGCTGCTTGGGCAGAGTGCCGGCTTTGATGAGCTGCTGCAGCAGGAGGCCCATGCGCTCTCGGGCGATGGTGCTGCGCTCCAGCGTCGACTCCAGGCCGATTTGTACGATGAGGAAGAGAAGCTGAGTGCTGCTGATCTCATGCACACACTGCAGAGCCTCCTGCGGGGCGGAGAGGACACACAGAGGGGTGTTAGGCTGATAAACTCTGCTTAGTTGTTGTCAGACGGTCATTTTAATGTTTATAACTGATCAATGACACAATCAGAATCGATACGATAATACTTTAATGTTCAGATCAAGTGTGAAATGTGACTTGCATCACAGCAGCTCCATGTGTAACATCAACAGACACATATCAAGACACAAGAAAAACAAACAACAAACATTGAACATAACAGCACAATCAGTGAAAGAAACCCTGCTCAAAGAGCCTTCAGCGAGCATTTGACCAGAGGCCTGTACTATGAAGTACCTGGGGGGTATACTACGAAGCAGGATTTTTGCTTAGCAGCTAACTTCAGGGGAAAGTCCGGCTTTCCGGTCCTACGAAGCTGGTTCTCTTTTTAGCGGGCTTGATCTCCATGGTAACTGATGCTTAGCGGCTAACCTGCTCCGGAGCAGGTTAGGTTCCAGGCTAAGAGATCAAATCAGTGAAAGCACCGCCTGCTGACCAATCAGAGCTCAGTGTGCAGAGTTTAAAGCGGTCAAGTCATATTACAGGAGAAAGGAAATACAGAAAAGCTGCCGTTGCAGGAAAGACGGCCGGCAAAAATCACCGACTGTGTGAACGTGAACATTAATAGAATATCACCTCCATCTTCAGAGCAATCTGACTATTATAACATTAGCGTTAAGAAAGCTTACTTCAATATCTGCCACAACATAAGTAACCGGATCAGAGTAACATTAAGTACAGTCCGCGGCATATCACTTCATAATGTATCATATATCTCCTGATCTGAATCAGCTGAGCCGTATCTGGCCGTGCAACACTCAGTGTCACATACTGTATGCAGAAGTATTATTTTAAGCAACACATTAAGTTGACGAAACACTCGAGACAAATGTAATTAAAGTCAGATCGTGTCTTAGATGGGGCCGTGATATCATAAACCTGTTAATGTACGCATTCAAACACTTGTTCTGTTACCAGCTGTATTCACCTTGCAGGTGCAGCGATGTGGCTTTGATCCTGGATCAAGTGTTTAAGTCATGGCTGTTTAAAGTTTAACTTCTTCATATGACTAATATTATAGTTAACTAACTAGATAGGACACGGCTGGCTTGAACGATCCACTTGATAACCCGCGTCGTAGTACAGTTTAGCGAGAGCGCGTATGTTTTGGATTAGGCCAACCGGCTAACTCAAACATATCCAGGTTAGATTGAACCAGCTTCGTAGTACAGGCCTCTGGACTCAGCTCTGTATTTACTGAGAGGATTGACTGGCGCACAAAAGATGCTTCAGTCTGACTTTATTCAATCTCCCATTAGATCAGCCGTGTCAAACTCAATTTCACCACTCAAAGGGCCGGTTGTAACTTTAAGACTATATAAAAATACATTTAATATATATAAAATAATGAATGATATTACATGATTACCTCTGCATTGGATTATTATCAGACCGGGTAATAACTTCATAATTAACTACGTCTGAAAGCAGAAGTCTAGGGCAAATAATTGCAAGTATCTTCAGTGAGAATGTCACAAAATGATTTAAAAAGAAAAGCCACATTCTGGAAAAAAAGGGAGGGAAAAAAAATCAGATTTGAGATGCATTGTGGGACATGTAGTTTATGGGTAACGTGCTTCTGTAAAGTAGCATTCAACCGTATAATAAATATATTCTTTGCAAGCTCTTATGGGACCACAGAAAATGAAGTGGGTCTGAGAAGAAGCTGTTGGAGAGCCTTATTAGGTTGTTCTAGTATGCTGACTCATAAAGTCTCTGACAGGGTTGACCAATTGCTTATTTATGCTAGGAGATATTTGGTTTAATAACGTACAAAAAGTTATCATGTTATGAACATAAAACCATTTAAAGTAAAAATTGTAATGAAACAACAATATTGCTACTTCTATTTTTCGTACCTTCATGTCGTTGAGGTGCAGATACTCCTCGATGATGGCGGTGGATTTTCTTGGTCAGTTCCTCCTCCGTCAGCGTGGGCTTGGTGGAGGCCGGGGGGGGAGGAGGGGTGTCAGTTTTCTCTCGTGTCACTGTTCACACAGAAAGAAACACAAACATGTCATGTTTTCCATGAACTAGGGAAACCCAGAAAATTGCAGTTTAAACACAAGTTTGACGAAACAAAAACTAAATTGGAAAGTTTTTTTTTTAGAAATCTGATTCAACGTTTTGTATAGGTAAAGTGTGTCAAAAAAAAAAAAAAAAAAAAAAAAAAAAAGAAGAAAAGAAAGAAAAGAAAGAAAAGAAAAAAAAGAAAAAAAGAAAGAAAATAAAAAAAGAAAGAAAAAAAGAAAAGAAAGAAAATAAAGAAAAGAAAGAAAAGAAAAAAAAAAAAAATAAAAAAAAAAAATAAAAGAAATAAAAGGAATAAAAGAAAGAAAAAAATAAAATAAAGAAAAGAAAGAAAAGAAATAAAAGAAAGAAAATAAGAAAATAAAAAAGAAATAAAATAAATAAAATAAATAAAATAAATAAAAAAATAAAAAAAAAAATAAATAAAAAAATAAAATAAATAAAATAAATAAAATAAAATAAATAAAAGAATTATATAAATAAAATAAATAAAATAAATAAAATAAATAAAATAAATAAAATAAATAAAATAAATAAATTAAATAAATTAAATAAAATAAATAAAATAAATAAATTAAATAAATTAAATAAAAATAAATAAAAATAAATAAAATAAAATAAATAAAAAAATAAATATAATAAATAAATAAATAATAAATAATAAATAACTAAATAAATTCAATAATAAATAAATATAAATATAAATAATATAATAACAATAAATAGACTTCTGGAACTGTTTGCAGGTTTTCTATGAGACACTGCAATGTATTATTATTACTATTCTAAGTGTGAATAAAGTTTCGTGAATAACTGAAGTCCTCCTACCGTCCTCTTTGCTCCTGGCTACTCTCTCGGCTCCCTCTGTCGTCGCGTACATTTGCTGGCGAACGCGGCGGACGGGATCTGCCGACCCAGCGCATGCTCCCGGCCTCGCGGCTCCCCTCGTTTCTCCGGGCTTGAAGCTGCCGCGTGGTGACCTGCAGGGCGGTTTATGTCGCGGTCGTCACGCCGGTCGAAACCGGTCGTTGCCTACGGCTGCCGAGCGATCGAAACGGTCGCCGCGCTCTCGACTCGAGCTGTTTCTGTGGAATCAGAACAAGAAAAATCCTTAATTCAATTACAAGTTACATTAGGTGTAATTTGAAATTAAAACAACACATTTCCATGACTTTTAAAACAACTTTTCAAATGGAAAACACTAATAAGATTACTTTTACATGCCTGGAAAATTACACTCTAAAGCTTTCTGATCACACGGGTCCGAATACTCTGACAACACTTTAAGTTTCTTGCTGCTCACCTCTGAGGGACTCGTCTGTCTGAGTCCTGAGCAGCCGAGGAGCCGGAGGTCGCCTGCTGTAAGGCGGAGAATCTGTTCCCCGTGTTGGTGGCTGGGCGGCCGGCTGGCTGCTCTGGGCCTGGAGGGGAAACACACCAGAAATAGCACATTATAATACATGTCATTACATTAAATACATTTGCAAAGCACCTTTAAACTCTTGGCCATGCCTACAGGAGAAATGTGGGGTTTCAATATCTTACCCCAGGGCAATAATGAATCATGACAGATATATGTGACCTTAATATCGATCAACTTAATATAAAGGCGCATTTGGTATCGTAAAAAAATCAAATGAGAGAAGATGGTTCCCAATAAGTACATTTTTTGACATTGTTCTTTCAATGTTTAAGTAATACTTCAATGCTGTTTTTCATTTTCTGAATGTCAATCTATTTTGTTATATCAACCTCTTTTAAACTGCTGGCAAATATAACAATCTGTCCAACAACATCAATGATATGGAACATCCAGGTAGCAAGGCAATGCAGCAGCGTTCTTTTCTGTGCTCTGAGTCTCACTTTTCATTTCATTTGTTCCGTTCATGGTATGCACAACTTAATGTATAACAATTATTTACAAAACATGTCTATAAACACACCGTACCCGGAAAGGAGCAGAAAGATTACCGGCCCTTTTCTCAAAAAAATTAAATAAATGTAACTAGATGGTCTGTCCTTCATATTTTCTTATTCACAGCCAATCATAACAGTATCGTGGGAAAATAAGAGAAACACAAAAACGTCCACTTAGTTCCCACTTGACAGTTAACGGAAATAATCTAAACTAAAACATCTCGTAATCACATTGTTCTGGGAAACCTACCGGCTTCTGCAGGTTTAGCAGTGGTGCTGCCCCCGCTGCTGCCCTTCCCCCAGCTGCCAAACATGCCTTTACCACCGGGGCCCAGGACCTGACTGGTGAAGTCAAGAGCAGGAGTCTGAAAAACAAAAAATGTGATACAAACATTAATGGGATTTCAACAGATCTTATAATTATATCCACATCATGACCTTTCCCACAGCGAAGGATTCATTTCGTCAACGAAAACTATGACGAAAAATGTTTTTTACATGACTAAGACGAGACGATGACGAGCTAAAAATAGATTCTTGATAATAAAAACTATGACGAAATGTATATTTAGTTTTCGTTGACGAGACGGGACTAAGGTGTTAATGGTGGATATCGGATATTCAAAATGCAGGGTATTTCCCCCAAGTGTCCGTCTTGTCTGTCAAAATGCATCTTACGTTTCTAACTTGCAATATCATTATTTCCGCTCTCTTCACTCCAGAAGAGCGATCTCCCTGGCCGTTTCTCAATGTCGAGTAAACCGGCTGCAGAACCACTATTTTAAGTATACTACGTCATCGAGTGGCGCCAAAGGACTGTTTAAATCAGGGGTGCCCAACCAGTCGATCGCGGGGAGATTCCCAGTCGATCGCGAGATGTGTCTAAAAATAGAACAATATTCAGTTTTATCGTTAATATCCTATAACATAATCTTCCCGTGCCAGAATAACGCACTTGAACGCACCAAAGCTTTGTGATTGGCCGGCGTGACCCCATGTGTGGGGGCGTGGCTGGTGGGCAGTGGGCAGTGCACTAGTTCGCTAACGTTGTCCGTGTCAACAGGAGTGACAGTCCGCACACACACAAGACCGCAATTATGGCAGAAGCAAAAAAGCCCAAAATATATAATTTTCACTCCGAGTGGGAGGATGATTATTTTTGTATCTATTCCAATTCAAAGTCCATCTGTCTCATCTGCAATGCGAGCGTGGCTTTATCGAAGAAGGGTAATTTAGGAGCGGCATTTCAAAACAGTGCACAAACGCTACGAGACGGAATTCCCTCCTAATTCTGCCCTACGCTCCAAAAGGGGAGGGGCCTGAAAGGACAGCAGTCCATTTTCACCAGGCCCAACAACAAGAGCAAGGCTGCTACCAGAGCATCTTATCGTGTCAGGCACGTTCTTGCGAAACACATGAAGTCTTTCAAAGACGGTGAAGTTGTGTAAGAAGCATTCCTGGAGGCTGCCGACGCGCTTTTGGGGGACAGTAAAAATAACAGTAGCATTTCAACAGGTTTTTGATATAATAAAAACTCAAGTTGGATACCGTTATTAATCAGCTGTGAGTTTTAGTTTGTTTGAACTTATTCATTATAATTATTGTACATAATGGTATAAGAATGCAAACTTAAATTGATTATATCAATTCAGGTTAAGAAACTAGTGTTGCTTGCATCCTATTTTAAAAAAGGCATTTATTTTTATACTCTACTAAAATTCAACAAAAAAAGGGTTTGATTCTATTAATTTTGTCTTTTTTATTGCACTGTTGCAGCAGATTCCTGTGTAGCTTCAGATCTTATTAGTAAGCCTCATTTATACTTTTGTAGCAACACTATTTTTATATAATGGCAAAGAAAGGGTTCAGAGTCTTTTCTTTTTTCCCTGTGTCATATGTGGCAGCACTGTTCAATGTTTCTTGAAAACATTACCCACTGTAGTGACATGTGAATAAACTCCAACTCTATCAACAACACTGTTGTGTAACTTCAGTTAAATACTTGTATGCGTGTAGATTAGAAAGAGGTAAGATAAAGGATCTGCAGTATTTCATGAAGTAATAATCGTACAAAGGTCAGTTTTATACAAGTGGAAGTGTGTATTTACCTGGTAGTAGGCTGTCAGTAATGGCTACGCCTCTCTATTTGGTCTGGTAGATCTCGGCAGACTGGCAACTTTAAAAGTAGCTCTCGGTTCAAAAAAGGTTGGGCACCCCTGGTTTAAATGCATGTTAAATGCCCAGCATTCGGCGTCACTCGATGACGGTATACTCAACATTGAGAAACGGCCCCTGTGTCTGTGTGCGGGGGCGGGGCCTAACAGAGGCTGCAGCGGCACAGAGATCTGCCAGGGACGGAGCGTTCAGAGAGTATAGAGACACTCTACAAGGCTCGACGTGGACAAAGCTCGTTTAGTGTTTTTGCGTAAGCGCGTTGACACGAGCAGTCTGTCCAAACAGCTGGCCAAAAGGCATCATATTCAGTCGGAGAAATGCACAATTTTCGACTTCCTTAACTCGTAGCTCTGTTGCCCCAATTACGATTAACGTTATCACATCAGGTGCGCAGAGGTGGGAGAAGTACTCAGATCGTCTTTATGTAAAAAAAGTACCAGAGTGTAGGAATACTCTGTTACAGTAAAAGTCCTGCATTCAAAATGTTCCTCAAGTAAAAGTAGAAAAGTATTCTCATCAAAATATAGTGAAAGTAGCGACAGTAAAAGTAGTCGTTGTGCAGATTGGTCCATTTCAGAATAATATATATGATATGTTTTATAATGATTGATCATCAAAGTGTTCTCAAAGCTGGTAAAGGTGCAGCTAGTTTGAATGACTTTGTATTCTGCAGGGTAGCTGGTGGATTTACTCCAGGTGGAACTAAAGTCTGATTCAACACTTGATTATATTTCACATCATTCATCCACATCTGTAGAGTAACTAAAGGTATTAAATACATGTAGTGGAGTAGAAGTACTAAGTAGCAAAACATTTCAATACTAAATGAGGTATAGTACCTCAACATTTTACTCAAGTACAGTACAATATAATAAGATAATTATATATATTTGATTTATTTCACATTTAAATAAAGCAATGTTAATTCGGTTAACAATTTGTTTAGTTTTTCCATTTAAAAAACAAAAAGGACCTATAAGAAGTATCGATAAGAGTAGTAGTACCGTTAAAAACCTTAACGATACCCATCCCTAGATATTACACAAGTAAGTAATACATTGAATTTTTATAGCGCTTTTCCTAGTGCTCAAAGATTCTTGTAAAGACGTAATACCAAGTCAAACTCAGCCTTTCTAAGAAACTGAAACCAGCAAGCACACTAATGAATCTAACTAAGGTCTCAGTATGTAAGTATGTAGCTATATTAACACAGTGCCCAAGTCAAACTCAGCCTTTCTAAGAAACTGAAACTAAAACACAACTACTACAACCTAAATTGTTGAAGGTAGAAAGAAATAACAAATCGTATTGAAATCTTGCATTCCTATCCAAGTGAAGCGTCCTTTCTCCTACCTTAGTGATTTTGCTAAAGCGAGTGGCGTCAATGGGTCGGCTTTTGGTGGAGATGGGAACTGTGTTCCAGCCTTCGTCCTGGGGAGTTTGCCCTCGGCCCTGGTTGTCACGGCTGTCGCGGCCCTCGCGGCCCCCACGGCCCCCTCGACCTCCTCCGTCGTTCCTTCCTCCGTCGTTTCTTCCTCCGTCGTTTCTTCCTCCGTGGCCTCCTGACGGCTTAGAGATAAAGGCATGCTGCACCTTCATCTGCTCCCGTTGCTCCTCCAGCTCGGCGTCTTTGTGGATTTGCTCGATCGTCTTCGGGCCCTGTTCGCCTCTCCTGGGGACCCACGAGCTCTGGAGGGGAGGAAGTAGAATATAGAGGTTGTCAGAATCAGAATACCTTAGGAAATCCAGTCCACTCTGAAGGGATCTACCGATAGATGTGATAAGGCCTGGCAGCCATTGATCACACACAGAGAAGTGCAAGCTGGATTTAACACTTTGAAGATGATTATGTATAGATTTGAGTATTGCTGAAATCTGGGCTACAACAATTTCTAAAGCAATATTGTAGGTGTTGTATATATGTTGTCTTTTTGTTCTTTTTTGTGTCCATTATGAGAACGTGTACTTATCTCATGTTTTAGTTGTTTTCTTTCATGCTGGGTATATTTGATCTGCTTTCTGGCAGTCTGGTTGAAATGTGCACTGTTGCATCTACAGTATGTATTTGACTGCTCAATGACATTCTGTATGATTTTTCTTTATAATGAAAACATAGAAATGAAATAAAAAAGGAATACCTTAATCGTCCCACATAACCGTAAACAAATATTAAAGATGTCGGGACATTGATGGGATTATTTGGGACATGATTTGCTCCCTCTGTGTGTATTGGATCATTAAATGGCAGTCAAAATGTTTACAAATATCAAAATGTTAGTGTGTTAGTGTGAATCACCGATTCCAACAACATTTTTTAAGAAACATTTGTTTTGCTTCTAATATGGGGAAATATTAGGAAAGAGACACGTTGATGCTGGCTTTAGAGCCAAGAGCCACTTTCACACCAAGTACTTTGCCCTACAACCTCCTATCCATCCCCACCCGCATCAATCATCGGACCTGGGGGGACAGAGCCTTCTCCGTCGCTGCCCCCTCCCTCTGGAACTCACTCCCACAACCCAGAGACTGCACTGACCTCACCACTTTCAAAAAACGTACAAAGACTCACCTCTTCAATCTGGCTTTTAATGTGTGATTTTTGTATTATTTGACTTTAACTATATATTTATTTGTTGTTCCTTTATTTTATTTTATCTTCACTATATATGTAAAGCTTCTTTGAGCACCTGTAAAAACGCTAACAAATTAAATCTATTATTATTATTACTTAGTGCCGGCACTTAGTACCCCCATGGAACCAGTGGCGGTTCTAGAACATTTTACATGGGGGGGGCAAAGGGGGGGCAAGAGGTCATGCCAGGGTGGCATGGGAGGGCGGACAGTACGTGGTATTTTATACTGTATATAACCTATTTATTGTTAATTCATGCCCTAACACAAGTGTTCTTAATGCACAAGAGAAACAAGGTGTTCAGACAAACAATCGGGTGCCCTTTGAGTCCCCCAAGCTTACTTCAATAATTTTAAATGAAAGGAAACTACAAAATGTATTTTAAAGCAATGAATTAATGGAACAGGTTTTTTTGCATTACAATGTAAAACTAAATATATATTTTGTTTTTAAAAAATTGGTTTTCTTAGTATTAGACAGACATATTTGCATGTCCTCACTAAGCATTATTACATATTAATTTAATATCAAACCAATCAAAATGGCCAATTATCCCAAAATGTTGCTGCTAATATAATCATATACTTGTCAACTTTAACTGATCAAAAATAAATTCTGAAAAAATACTTGAATTATCTATGAAATTGCAATATTGTCCCTCAGTTTGTTTCAACCTCGTCACGCCATACCATTTACCCTCCTATTAAAATAATGGATCAGTCCATGTGTGATCTGCATTGAGGGAATCACATCACAAAAGTGTCAGTTTCTTCTCTTACCTATATGTAAGGAGAATAAGAACATACCATGTGGTCCAGCTGGAGTTTCATCTGCCTCCTGATCCCTGCCTCTGGCCCTCTTTCTGATACTTCATCTTTATTCCTCACATACATTTCTTCTTCTTCACTAATGTCTTCATCTCCTCCTCCTGCTCTGACCCTCCTGGTCTCTTCATCTCCTCCTCTTCCTCCTGCTCTGACCCTCCTGGTCTCTTCAGTGAACTCTCTTTTCCTTTTCCTCTTTCTGTTCGTCCTGATCACTTTTCATATGTCTTTGTGTTGTTGTTGAATCACTCCTATACTCTGGCCTGCAATAGTCTACTTGGGAAAAGCACTGGTACAAATGCTTGTATAACTTTACGCGTTAGGGCCATGTAGCCTAGCTAATATGTAGCATATCATATAACATCAGAAAGTATTGATCAAGCGCACACAGGCAGCTGTGTTTGGATCCAGTTTTTACGGTAAAGGATGTATCCTGGTTTCATTGATCTGGCCTCATGGCTGTGATGTGTAGTTTACGTGGATTTAATAGTAGGCTACCGCGTAGTTTAGCAAAGTGATCGATCTCCCAGCTAACGCTGTCTGCGTAGTATTTTGTAACGTAACGCCCCAAACAGCGCCCGTCTGTTAAACGCTATCGATTCAAACGGCAGCGTTTTATTCATATTTAGTTTCAAGCTCTCGTCCTTAGTAAAAACAAAACTAGTGGAAAGGGAAATGCTCCCATGGGAAGCTGATCCATAGGTGCTGGGACAGCTCGCTCCCTCTCTGCAGCGGTGTGAGCCGCGGTCTGTGTGAACGCCGCTCCGCAGTTTAATGCAGGGCCGTAGCTGCGTTTTTAACGGGCCTAAAATTATATTTAAAATGATTCACTTTTAACTAATGTAATGCTTGTTTTGTTGCTTGAGAAGCTTGTGGAAATAGTGTAGGTTTGTTTTAGTACAGTTTTAGGGAAACAAAAGTTAGGGGGGCAGCTGGGGGGGCAAGGCTCTACAGTGGGGGGGGGGCAGCTGCCCCCCCTTGCCCCCCCGTAGATCCGCCCCAGCATGGAACTAAGTACAGATCGCGTTCACACCAGAATAAATTCCCTGAGGGAAGATTACGCAAATGAAGCCGCTGACGTCACTTGTTCTTCTTCTGCTTTGGGTTTACTGGCAGGCCACAAACCACTTCACGGTGTATACTGCTACCGGAAGTCCCCGGAGTTGGGGACTGGCTTCAGCTGCTGATGCCTTCCGAGTAAATAGCTGGATGGCCAACACCGCCCAGTGTTTCTCCTACCATTGTCTTGAATGGGCGCTGCGCCACCCCTGAAATTCAAGGTGTTTAAAAAAAAAATTATATATATAGCACCAAATTGCAACTTATCTATAACTACTGTCCCTTTTCACATTGAACATGTGCTCTTTTATTAAATAAACTAAAGGCTTTCATTTTACCTTGTGAGTTTAGTGTTTTTGACCCTAAGAAACACTGATGCATTAATCAATAACAATAATCCACAGCTCCTCTGTCTCCTCCAGAGGCTTTAAAAAACGATATATCCTAATTTTACTGCACCCAGTTTCCTACATAACTATTGCTTTTGTTTCTCTTTTGGTTAGGTATTCTTCTTTCTATGTGTCTGTAAGCACCACTTATAACAAAGCAAATTCCTCGTAAGTGTAAAACTACTTGATAATAAAACTGATTCTTTCACACAGTGACGTCACAGCTACCCACAATGCCACGCGCGCCATATATTTTTTTATAAAGATGCCATTTTTCTGGAGGTGCAAAAATCCTGGCGATGCTAATATAAACAGCTAGCTAATGTAGCCAGGCAGAGCGCACTAGGTTTTTTTTCTGAATTAACGACCGAAGAAATCGCTGCATGTCTTCGGATTACATCTCTGGACTTGAGGGGTGTGCTCTAGGTCGTCACCAGCGTAAACTAGAGCTGTGTGGGTTGTTGGATGTACAATGTATGGAATTACGACCCTCAAAAGCGGCCTTCGGTCGATTTTGGCATCTACGTCTATCTTCTGGAAACACCAGGTGAATACCCCACTTGTCACAATAATATTATCATGCCAATGCATATATGTGGTATTTTAGAGTTGACTATATTGATTAAGGCAATAGACTATGATATTCTGTATGCACCTCGTGTGAAATGGTTGATACCGGAAGTACGGTGTCGCCCTCGGCCCAAAACCCGTATGTGTGTGTGAAAGAATTCTGACAGAGCCCACTCTAAAGCTAAACGGCGCTAGCTTAGCATAGCTAACGGCGCTAGCTTAGCATAGCTAGCATGACACAGCACTATAACCGTTACTCTCCAAACAAACCCGCTGAACATACCCAATAAACAGACATCCCACCAACAGTGAGCTCTTCACAACACCAAAACACAACATCAGTGTATATTCAACATGTATCAACCATAACACTCACCTAGTGTGGCGAGATAATAGGAAATAAGCTAATTAGCTCAAATGCGCGGTTGTTGCTAGCTTCAAGTCCAACGTATTAATAAACGGTTGTTAAGCAACAGGCGCCATCTGTTGGACAACCCAGGAACCGTTAGTCTTTGTAACTTGTCATATCCATTACATATGCAACAGGTTGAAAAAACATTAAATACATTAACTCAATTGAACTGAAGTATCTCTAATTTTGACCGATGATTCAATAGGCATTTAGCAGTGTTAATGCTGACAAATTAACACTATTGGGACTAAGGTGTTCATGGGAGTAACTGATGAAAACATCCACATCCTAGTCACTCTTAAAGCTGGCGAAGGCAGTTTTTATTTAGCATTATTGGGCAAAAGCTCCATAATAACCTTCAATAGATAAAAAGCTAAGAGGATACAGAGGGTTGAGGTTAGATTCATCTCGGTCCTAAGTCAAGTCCGAAGTTAGTCTACAGGAAAATGGATGTGCTATAATGACATTTAGGACAACCCTGAATTTAGCATTGCAAAGGCTCTTTCAACGTTTTTCTATTACATTTTTCAAAGTGTTTCCTGCAGGATATTCCTTCGTTGAATCAAGCTTTGACCTAAAAAAGTGATGTGCACGTGCTTCTGTGTTTGTAAAACAGCAAATCAAAACGCCCTCTCTGAAATGACCTGAAAACAGAGCCAGAAGGAGGTGCAGAAGTGTAGTTTTCTCTTAAATTAGAATATACTGAGAGGTTATATTGGAAGTTTTGCTCCAGGAAGGCACAAATAACACTGCCTTGCACAGCTTTAACTCTTCAATTTAGCCTTTTTCCTAGAAAGGCAAGAACAAAGTGTGTGTGTGTGTGTGTGTATGTGTGTGTGTGTGTGTGTGTGTTTCAAAGTAAAGTTTGGCCAATGTGCTGACTGTGCAGCTGATGTTAGCTTGTTAAACACTGAAAGAGGTTTTGTAACACTATGTGGGCGGTGGGCAGCATTCCTTCAGAGAAATAATCTTAAACTGGACTGGCTTCCACACACACACACACACACACACACACACACACACACACACACACACACACACACACACACACACACACACACACACACACACACACACACACACACACACACACACACACACACACACACCTATTATATATATATTATATTCTGGTCATATGCCTTTAACGGTTTGTCTTGTTTGTTAAGTTTTGATAGTTTTTGAAGAACTACTAATAAGAAAGTAAATCATCCTTAAATTGACTTAGGAGCTGTCTTTGTTTCTTAGTTTAAACAATACCTGTTAGCCTATAATAAAAACGACTCTTGTTGTGCTAGTGTTTACCCGTCGAAGGTCCAGCACGTCCTGCAGCATGAAGCGGATCCTGGAGCTGGTCTTCTTGTCCTTTATGATTTTCTCCATCTGATTAAAGTACTGGTCCATACGAGGCTAAGGAACAAACACAGCAGTGTGGTGAGTACATCTTCCACAGAACAGATTAAAACATGATCCAACAGCATGCATATACTGTAGGCACGTGGTCTGTAGAGCTGACTCAACGAAAACAAATTTAAAAAATATCCTTTTTACCCAATTGCAATTGTTTGTTTGAATGTTAACTTCTATAGGTTAAAGTGGAATGATAATACTTCACATTTTGATGGTTTACACAGACTTTGGGATCGTTAAAACAATTCTTTGCAAAGGTGGGACATTTTCTTCATCTGGATTCTTGTATACCAGCAGTTTCCAAAACAAAACACGAAATTGCTCATTGAGGAATAGTTTAGTCTAAATGCACTTCGTACCTTGGCCTTCTCGAAGTCGAGGTCCTTTCCGATGGTGGACAGCAGTCTGCAGAGGCACTCCAGAGACTCTTCGTCGTGGTTCTTCAGCAGCTTCACGATGCAGTCGTGCATGATGACCTCTGTGAGCATTTTCAGCTTGAACAGCTCTCCGATGAACTTCATGTTGCCCATCGAGCGCCTGCGGGCGTTGTCTTTCTCGCGCTGCAGCTGCTCAGTGAGACGCTGCTTCTCCTCCGGCTGCAGGAGGAACAAAGTCACGGGGAAATGGAAGAGATGTTGTTGTTTGAATAATCTGAGAATAATATAAATCTGGTCAAATGTGGGTTTCGAAACGGATAAATATATATGTTTTAAAGGTTACTGAAGAATGTGCAATAAAAAGATCAAATACAAAAATAATATTTATTTATATACAAGAAAAATGTGCAATAAAAATAAATGTAATAAAGATATTTATGAGGAAAATAGTAATATAGTAATAATCCTAAGTGATATGGGTAAGTAAGATGTCCAATAGAAAGGTAAACATATGCACAGTGTAATACAATTTACAAAATATGTAGTTTTTATGTGTATTACTAAGATATTTTCCAGAATTACAGTTTAAAAGGGTTTAAAAGTGCCAGTCTGTTAACTCATAATGGCTTCCCTCTGATTTATGTTCACCTTCAAATACTCCCCACCACACATACAAAATAAAACACCGAGATCACTTCTTTTGTGCATAAACAAAGACCCTAAATTGAGATTTTGTAGGCAGTACTGTACCACTGTGGCAGCATCCAGCTCTTTCTGCTTCCTCTCGAAGATCTCGTCGTCAACTTGGTCCTTTTCGAACTCCTTCTGGCATCGGTTTAGCAGCAGCTTGCGGAAGTTCACAGTGACTCCCGGCTTATCTGTGGTTTCAACTTTAAGCTGGAAAATAGAACAGCAAACACACACAATTAAAGATTATTACCACCATACTCGTGCACTCCGCTCTGCATCAGCCAAACGACTCGCTGCACCCTCGCTGCGAGGGGGACCCAAGTTCCCATCAGCAAAAACACGTGGGTTTGCCGTCCTGGCTCCAAGATGGTGGAATGAGCTCCCCATTGACATCAGGACAGCAGATAGCTTACACACCTTCCGGCACAGACTGAAAACTCATCTCTTTCGACTCCACTTCGAGCGATAGAACTATTAACGAAGCACTTATATACTAATAAAGGACTGGCTTATCTAAAGCCAGTTGAGTAACACTTGAAATGTTTGGCTCTATGAAACCTGATGTTCTTATATGATTGTTTTCTTCAAGGTTGTATCTTGTTGGTCGAACGCACATTTTGTAAGTCGCTTTGGATAAAGCGTCAGCATTTTGCCGCCGCCTCTGGCATCTCATCAAATGTGTCAGGAAGAGCAAGGCATATTTGATAAGAGCTTAAAAAGTTGTATATATAGTCATACTACATATATGTATACAAAAAACAGTATTTTGTTGCATCTTGTCCTTTTTTCAAAACTGAAAGTAGTTTTAATGAACAGATCTTTGGCTGTTTGCTTTCGGAAGTGGAAGCAAATTAATCTGTGTACGAAATTCCATATTTTATCAGTGGTTAGTTTCCAGAGGGGTCAGAAGCTCAAGATAAGATAAGGAAATGTGCCAGGACGTAGTCGTAGTTAAATGTTACTCATATATAAGCTGACCAAATATATACAAATATGTAATTCAGAGTCAGAGTATCGCGTCAAACTCCAAGATGAGAATTTGAAAGATTGTCCACTGTGCAATAAATACAAATAAAAAAAGCTTGTATTTATTTTCACGTTATTTGTCGTCAAAGCTACAGAGAGAGCCGACCCCGATAGTGTCAAAAAGTGCACATCTGTAGAAAGACCCTTAGAACAACAGCCCTTAAGTGAACATGTAAGCTTACTCAACACTAATTCCATCTTTTAGCTTAAGAAATATTTTCCAAAGTGCGGCAGAACACAAAAAAAGCGTGTGTTTATTTCCACGTTATTTGTTGTCAAAGTTACAGAAAGTCTGATGAGACACTTGAGAACCAAGCCCAGGTCAAGTGAAGGCTCACGGTGTTACACTTTATGTCATAGCAACACACCACTGAGCTCTGTGTAGAAGTGTAATATCAGATTATTTTCTTCTCCCTGCTCCTTCTCGGGTACGGTGTGTTTATAGAGAAATGTTTAGTCAATAATTGTTATACATTAAGTTGTGCATACCACATACCATAACTTTCGTTCAAATCAAAAATGAAATGAAAACACCTTATCAACAATCATCGGCTTGGCACCACTTACCCCCATGAGGCAGTGGCACATGTTGGCGTAGGCCACGGAGAAGTTAGGCTCGGCGATGGCCTTCTCGAAGGTCAGATCGATGACTCCTTTCAATCTCTCCTCCGTGTCGATGGTGAGATCGATCACCATCTTCATGAGCTGCTGAAACTTCTGCGGGGTGAGTTTGTTGAGGATGCTGCGAACACTTTTAAACAGCTCCTGGGTCTTCCCGTGCTCTGAGTCGTCGCTCTCACTCTCGACCTCCACGCGGGTTTTCTTCGTCGTAGGTTTCCACGCCTTCTCCGCCTTGTTCAGCTGAATGTCATCGCTCAGAGACATGGTGGTGAAGACCTTCCTCGGCTTTTCGCGCTGCATCTGCGCCGAGCGACGAGGACCCCCGACACCCATACCCATACCTGGAGGCTGAGAGGAGACGGAGATGTTTAATTCATTCATGGGCGACAAGGATTACAATTACTTTAAATGTTATTGAAATATGTAGAACACATTTATTTATAGTTTTGTAATTATCAACCGCACTGATAAATACATGTACAATAACTTACTTATTGACTCGTTTACATGTTGTACTGCCTTGACCGTATTGTTCTTGTATTTGTATGATAATGTCGTATTGTTTTGTAAGCGTACTGTTCAATTTAGCATAGGTCACTATATATATTAAAAGTGTTAGCTTGTATTGTCAAAATGTTACTTCTACTGTCTGTTATGTGTGATTGCACCATCGGGAATGCTTGGAATTTCGCTGTGTAGTGACAATAAAGGAATCTAATCTAAATATGGAATAGTGCAAGATTTAGTGCACGATATTTGATGAGGGCTAAGTATTGGGGCTGTCAATGATGACGTGTTCACTCTGGCGATACATCTAGAAACATTAACACATTAACAAGTTCGAACTCAACTCCCTTCTGTATATCTAGCGGCAGATTTCTAATTCATTCAAGGGCGACAAAGATTACAATTACTTGAAATGTTATTTAAAGTGCATTACGGAATAGTGCAATATTCAAATTGCCGAGTGCACAATATTTGACGAAGGCTAAGTATTAGGGCTGTCAACCGTGACGCGTCAACTCTCCGCGTCGGGCCGAACCACGCCCCTTAGCCGTGATATAATGACCATATATCACGGCTTTTATAAAACGGTTACCAAGTGTGGAAATATGAAAGAAAAATACACACTAATTTAAATAGTTTTTATTAGTAAATAATGATGTTCAAAATAAAATAGTCCCTCCGTTGCCTTCTGCACAAAACATAGAGTGAGGTGGTTGCTATGCAACAACACTAACAGCTAGCGAACATATTAGACAGAGAGCGTTGATCCATTATTTGGCTATTTATTTACATTAATGTGTCTGTAGCCGTTTATTGTGCAGCCACTGAAAACCTGTCCAGCATCAGTAGCATGGCTTACGTGGTCACTTGTATAGGTTGAGGTTGTTCTACGCTGTTGCTTGGCGTGGCGAGAATATTGCTCCACTTTCTCCGGTCCCCGAGATTGGGCTTCCAGCAGCTCTGGAGAGAGCTTTCGCACCTGTGGCCACTAACGGTCATCATTTCTCTGCTTTGTTTCAGAAAGCTTTTGAATGGTGTTACTTTTCCAGTTGGTCTACCTGCTCTTCACGTAGCTCTGCATGTCGTCGTTTGGAGATAGGCACTGCTCAATCCACTCCTCCATAGTAAGGCCACCCCGGAGGTTGAAGTTAACCTTAAATGTTTCTATCTTAAGCTTTGTAAGTTTGTTTCATAACGGACTAAATGTAATAATATTTATAAAACAGACAAGTCAAATCAAGCAATCTGATTGGTCGATAGCGTTTTTGCGGACCTTTTGAGTACAGATTTGAAAACATCGCTGCTTGCTTTAAAAGTAGCACAGTTCATGATGTCAAACCTTGGAAAGTATCTAGATATCCCTGCCCTGATGCCAAAGTAACCGCACACTGAATGTTTTGCCGTCTGATGTCTATGTCTGGACCGCTGCGTAAAAAGGAAGGTTTCTGCCCCGTTACTTCTCCGCTGCTTTCTTGTCCCAGTTTGCTTTTCAGCCCAACTGTATACAGTTTTTCTCAGACGCGGAGGGATACTGACTTGTTGTGAAAAGTAACTACAATTCTACCCGTGGTATACGCTGATTATATCACGGCTAAGAACCAATCAGATTGCGTGATTTGACGTGTCCGTTTTATAACTAGAAATATTAACTAATATAAAAATAATTCACACAAGATAATCACATTAACAAGAACGCAACTCCAGAGATATGGAAAATGCACCCAAATGACCCCATACGTTTTTTTGTTGCTAAACCTCTAAAAAAAGATAAAACGTCACTTGTTTTGCATCAATCTTGATACAGGGTACTTATTATATGTTATACTTTGGATTCCTAAAGCTTTTAGTCTACCCCATCATTCAAGGGTGGTTTTCACTATAAGTAATGTTTTTTTTTGGACGGACACAATAATTTACATTTTTTTTACTATGTTCAATCTGAATTTACTTTAAAATAACATTCTATATTGATTCTGACTTTTCTACATCCAACTCACAGGTTTATCATTGCTTTGAGAGAAAAGATTATTAATTTAAGCCTTTTAGAAGATATGGTCATTTGTTCTGGGAATGTCATTTTCGAGCCTGAGGCCTGAAAAACAGGCTCAGGGCTGAACAGGTTCAGAAAACTTACAGGTCCTCTCCTTTCTTCTCTTCCTCCTCCTCCTTCCCTTCCATCTCTTCCATCTCTTCCTTCTCTTCCTCCACCACCTCCTCCTCCCATGTTAGGTCTGCCGAGGTTAGCGAAGGAAGGCGTGAAGTCGGGGCCAGAGATCATTTCTTTCATACGACTGGGGTCCAGTTGGCGCAGAGGGGCCTTGTTTGCCTGAAAAAATAAGTAAAAACCGAATGAGATTTTCTCCAAGATGTTAATGTAACGATATCCTGCTTTATATTGTGTCTAAAGCCCTTCCATAGTGTTTTATTGTCAGAGTAGGGTCATCAAGGCATCTTTGTCCATGCTTTATTGGTATATTGTCAGACTTCATGCCAATAATTCAGGAATAATGGTTTCATAAACCCCGATTTCTCTCACCGGTTCGCTATGTGTGACGGAGCGGATCACAGAGTAACTGACTCCGCCACTGACAGCCGGCGGCACACAACAAACATTTCCCGCTCTCTTCCGTTCGTCAATAATAAGATTCAATCATCACTAAACGTCCCTTTCTCCCCTCTCCCTTTCTGTAGCGCGACCATGAGTGCACGCTTGTGATTCATACTTTAACTATAGTACACGATACTTACGTGACGGGCGGTCTCCCCAGCAAAGGGGAATGTGGAAAAGACGGAGGCGCATCACTTCCGTGGTTTAAATAGGATGTCATGAACCGTGCAATTTATTATTTATTTTGCGTTTATTAATGATGGGGGATGATTGTGTTAGTTAACCTGTTTATGTTTGGGTCGGATCGTTTTTCTCATGTTTGAGGGGTTAAAATTAAGTGTTTTTGAATGAATTGTGTAACCTGTTGACGGTAAGCCTGTGGGGAGGGGCTATGGGTTCATAAGGGACGGTGTTGACTAACAGCTAGAATGTGTTTACTAGTGCTGGGGGGAAATGATTATTTTGAAAACGATTAATCGGGCGATTATTTGATCGATTAGTCGGCTAATCTAACGATTATTTTTCTGTTGTTCAATTCATAAAAAACGTAATGTAAAAAAAATGACCCGAGCGAAAAATGCTAACGGACATTGGCACAGAACTCAAGATAAAAGTACCCTTATTACTTATCGTAGCTGCACATACAATATATCCGATTAAAGCTGAGACTCCACAGATTATGTAGGTATATAGTATCATCACTGAGTGATCCGGACTCGCGACAGGGGAAGCAAATACAGTCATCACAACACGTACCTTCACAGAGCTTCTAGGGAGATCGTCTCACCCGCCGTAATCTGATCAAAAGACGTGTTCAATGGCATTAAAATGAGAAAAAACGCGGCTGAATCGGTTAATCCATAGGTTTTTAACGTCTATGTATAAAAAAATGATTGAATTTATAATCCATAATTCCATTTTTATGTAAAAATTGGAGAGCAAATGCTAGCTGCTAATGGTAGCCACCACAGCTAGCTGCTGCTTCTGCTAGGCTATGCAGCAGTCTCAGTGAGATATAAATATATAAATATCTTTGCGTTTTGGACTAACTTTAAAATATTCCCATGCTTTTGAAGACCTAGGGCGAGATGTTTTCGTTTGGGGGCTTCGTGCGCAATCCTGTGAGGAGGAGGTGGTAGCCGTTTCAGTCTCCATTGTGTTTGAAGTGCGATTGCGAACTGCTTGTTGCTTTGGGTGACCCACGTGTGTGTAGCGACGCGTCGACGCGGAAATATGTCGTCGACGATATTTTGAAGTCGACGCGTCGCTACAGCACTAGTGTTGTGACGGTGTTGGCTAACAGCTAGAATGTGTTTACTCCATGAGGGATAGACAACCTAATTTGGTAACTTTGATTTTGTTTATTTAAGTTATACTGTTTCACTTTTATCAATCAGTATATTTGTTTTGTTGCTGTTATAAATAAAGTTTTGGAGCTTAAATCAACCGACTAAGCCTATGTTTTCAAACGGACAAATAGAACTCCGTCACACTATCCATTTCTTTATTACGAAACCACACAGGTATTTGTTCAAAAGCATAACCTCCCTTCACATTTACTGCCTCTAGGGATGGGAATTTGAAAGCAAATGTATATTCGACCACCAAAAAAACGGTTAACCGATTAATGCAGCTATTCAATACTCATTGTTGTTTAAGAATATGAGCATGTCTACTCAGGGGAGAGGCGGGTGCGGAGTCGATTCACAATCAGGCCAGCTGTAGAAGACCCTCTCCCCTGGAATTTGGGCATAAGATGAGGTTTGAGTCTGCGTGGTCTGCGAGTAGGGAGGGGCAGCAGCCGTATCATTAGCTAGAGCTAGATCTGATGGATTTGGACATAAACGCGAGTGAAGTATAACCGGACGCGAGAGAGAGAGAGAGAGAGATCAGCACCTGCAGCTCTGCCCGCTGTGAGGGGCCGGTGAGCAGAGCAAAACACACCATTAGACCTAACACACTTAGCTATGGCACTGTCGTATACATTGAATTATTCCATTTGATCATATGTAATCAACTTAGGCAAAACAAATTAAAATATTCATAACTCATATTCGCTACCTGAATAACTTCGATTAATCGTTCCCATCCCTAACTGCCTCCATGGTTTTACATATCATCGACATAGGAGAAACTATGCAACACTGTGTGTATGTGTTCTATTGCGAGGGGTTTGCACCTGGTCCAGGACGACATCACTGATGGCTGGCAGACCCTCGGGCTTGTTCATGCTGGCGGACATGAACTGGAAACCCAGAAGAAACTTTCTGTCGTAGTGCTTCTTCTGCTCTGGGTCGATCGGCTTCCAATTTTCTAAAAGAGAAACCAAAACAGAAAGATTACCAGAACATTCGTTTATTGAAAACATCTGAAACTCACTCCCACAACGCAACAACCACCACTGTTCAAAACTCACCTTTTTCAGACTGGCTTTTAATGTGTGATTATTGATGTGTTCTTATGTTGTTTTATAAGCTTGATTTCTAATTCAAATGTGTATCTTTTTACCATTGTAAAGTGTCTTTAAGCACCGGATAAAAGCGCTGACATTTGTATTACTAACTAGGACCGTAGCCAATACTTCATTCATAACATTGACTTTTCAAAATCCTACACAGCTTGTTTTTGCAGATTAAGATCAAAATGTGTCCTATAACTCTAGAGCATTGTGAAGTCAAAATGTACTGAAAAAATATCAAATAATTTGCAAAATTCACCACAATCTATCTATCAAGCGATTCAAAAACTCCCAAGCCTAATTTGGACATTTACCGAACGTTTGCAACCCTAGTCATGACTTTAACTTAAATCCCTCTTGTTCAAGCTTCTCTTTCTTGAGCTTATTGTTCAAACATTTGCTCTCTGTATCTTATCCTATATCTAGAACTGCTCGGGTCTTGATAGATTGAGTGGGGAAGTTCATGAGATCTTTCTAGAGGGTTATCAAGAATAACTTTTATCCAATGACCTTTTCGCTCTCTGTCTGTGTCTGTGTATTCTCTTGTTCCGATTAACCCAGCCAAATCTTTGTTCTTGTTTTGTATCTATATCTACGCCGGGATCCGGAGTCGAGGCTGATCCTCTTGCTGTAGTCCTGTGTCTTGGATCCTCGATCCTGAGTTCTGGATTAAGTCGTGGACTTCGGGTCGTGGCTGAACCTGTCTCTGCGGTCCTGCCTTGGGTCTCGTCATGCTGCTTCCCTGATGGCTTCCACAGGATTGTAGCTGACATCCTCGTGGATTCATCTTCTTATTACAGACTCATGCATTTCCTAACATTCGGTCTATATGCTGTAAAATGTATTATCTCTTTGATTTACACACGGCATCTATTGCACGTCTGTCCGTCCTGGGAGAGGGATCCCTCCTCTGTTGCTCTCCCTGAGGTTTCTCCCATGTTCCCTTTAAACTGTGGGGTTTCTCTGGAAGTGTTTCCTTGTGCGATGTGAGGGTCTAAGGACAGAGGGTCTAAGGACAGAGGGTCTAAGGACAGAGGGTGTTGTTTTTCTCATACTGATATTCTGAACAATCTGTGCTGTTGTATTTGCTGTAAAAAGTCTCTACTGTAGCCTATTTTTATTATATGTACAGCACTTTGGCTCGACCAAAAATCGTTTAGAAATGTGCTATATAAATAAAACTTGATTTGATTTGATACATCATGCTCGACCATCACATAACTATCATTTTCCACTGAGCAGTCAGGTAACACATGCCACTCCCAGGTGTTTAACAAAGCAAACACAAACGTAGCTGATGAGAGATTAGATGGCCGCTCAAGGTTCAGAGACCCACCCTCTTTGTACTGGTACTTCTTGTCAGGGTTGTTGGGATCCGGCTTGGTGTTTTCAGCGTCCATCTTGCCCTCTTTGTCCTCCTTGTCCTCCCAGGTCATATCCGGATCCTCTGGGGCAGGAGTGGAGACGACGGGGGGCTTCGTCTCTGGAACGGGGGTTGGTTCAGGCTCAGGAGGAACCACTACCTGCTCCTGCTGGAAAGAAGGGAGAAAAGGTCAGACTAGGGCTGAACGATATTGTAAAAATCTGGCATTGCGATATTTTTCTCCATGATCTTTACCTGATTTTCCATGACCAAAACAATTACTCTTTCTCAGCGTACCACTGAAAATGGTTTATTTTAACATCGAACAGGAAAATAAGGTCTGCATATGAAACATGTTGTGCCTATCTAAAACAAATCCAATAGTAGGCTTACTAGCTTCTACACGCTAAAGCAACTGAAATCTCTCACCAGCAAAATACCTCAACAGTTAAATGCCATTTTACGTTTCATTACTATACCATACAGTATTTATTATCATTATAGTATTACTATTTTGGCGATTAGATAAAATATAAATTATATTTGATGCAACTTTAGTTACATTTCCAATACTTTGGGAAAAATATTGTTTTCCATAACTTTTCCAGGGCCTGGAATTAGCTTTTTGAATTTCCATGACTTTTCCAGGTTTTTAATGACCTGGAAAAATTGAGGTGTTCCCGTGGGGGGAGGGGGGCAGAGGGAGGGGAGACCAGGTGCATGTTGGGAAAAAGTATCGTTACAGTGGATGAAGGGGGTGGGGGAGGGGTGTCTAAAGTCAAAGATTAATCTTGATTGGGCCAAATTTGACCTCGAGTCACCCAAAACAATTCTGCTGGGTCTCCCCAGACCCCAACACCAAACTATACACTTATTTAGAGACCTTCAGACTTGGCTAAAATTGTCCAAATCAGTTTTGTAGTGTTTATATAGCTGTTGTGGAGGATATCATAAAGCCTTGTTCCGATACAAAAAACTAGAGCGTAGTTATTATATAATGCGAACTTGAAACGGGAGACCCGAACACAAAATAAGGGTTAATCGATCAGTTGAATTTAGCGACGCAATCTGTAAAACTGAATACCTTTACAAAGATTCATAGAAAAGCACCTCGTTAAGTCTTGTGTTTAACAGAGAGAAATAATTCATTTAGCATCAAATGAGGGAACGTCGAGGTGACTGTAGGGATCATACAACGTTGTACAAGCTTTGAAATGAATTATTAACTGCATTCCTGCACACACACACACACACACACACACACACACACACACACACACACACACCACACACACACACACACACACACACACACACACACACACACACACACACACACACACACACACACACACACACACACACACACACACACACACACACACACACACACACACACACACACACACACACACACACACACACACACACACACCTCTTTAAAGGCATCGAGGAGGTCGCCCACGGTCTCCTTTTTGTTCAGATCCTTCATCTTCCGCTTCTTCTTTGGCACAGACACAGCAGCTGAAAGAAGGAAGTAAAACACAATGAGCCTCAGATCAACACAAACATAACCTGAGAAGATTCAGAGATATTCACTACACGTATTATCATGTTGTAACTAGAGCTCTACCCATATTAACCTTCCACAAATGAATGGGTATCTTTTGGTATCTGATGAATTTGTTGACAAGATAATCATAATGTTTGTTGCCCTATTTACTGTCTCGCATAGGCACCAATATTCATTTATTTTGGTTGGTCCATGTGTACAGAAATTGCATATTATACTTTTTTTTGGATCACCTGCATTCATACTTAAAAAAACTTCAATATGTCCAAAACTCAGCTGCCCGCTTGCTCCCCTCCACCCGACGCTCCGACCACATTACATTACATTACATTGCATTTAGCTGACGCTTTTGTCCAAAGCGACTTACAATAAGTACATTCGACCAGGAAGACACAACCTTGAAAAAAACAGAATCATATAAGTACATCAGGTTTCATAGAGCCAAACATTTCAAGTGCTACTCAACTGGCTTTAGATAAGCCAGTCCTTTAGTAGTATAAAAGTGCTTCGTTAATCGTTCTAACGCTCGAAGTGGAGTCGAAAGAGATGAGTTTTCAGTTTGCGCCGGAAGGTGTGTAAGCTATCTGCCGTCCTGATGTCAATGGGGAGCTCATTCCACCATCTTGGAGCCAGGATAGCAAACCCACGTGTTTTCGCCGATGGGAACTTGGGTCCCCCTCGCAGCGAGGGTGCAACGAGTCGTTTGGCTGATGCAGAGCGTAGTGCACGCGCTGGGGTGTACGGTTTAACCATGTCCTGGATGTAGGAAGGGCCAGATCCATTCGCAGCACGGTAAGCAAGTACCAGTGTCTTGAAGTGGATTCTAGCAGTTACCGGAAGCCAGTGAAGGGAGCGGAGGAGCGGAGTGGTGTGGGAGAATTTAGGAAGGTTGAAAACCAGACGAGCCGCTGCATTCTGGATGAGCTGCAGAGGTCGGATGGCACATGCAGGTAGACCAGCCAGGAGGGAGTTGCAGTAGTCTAGGCGTGAGATGACGAGAGCCACATCACCCCTATCCTCCATGACCTCCAATACCGGCGGGCCAGATCTAATAGTAATTTGAAATTATCCTGCGGGCCGAAATTAAATCCACCAATGGCCTGATCCCCGGGCCTTGAGTTTGACACATGTGGTCTAAAGAGTCATTCTCGTATTGGCTGAGAAATTGGTGCTTCCCTATAAGGTTAGTTTATTTGTATAGCACATTTTAATAAGCGATAAAATACTGGCTGCAGCTAAAAGTGAAATGATAAGGCACGGTTAAAGGATCTCAGGATATATATATATATATATATATATATATATATATATTTGTTGGTAGTGGGTTACCCTTAGGTCTACGATAATGTCGACTGGCAGCTTTAGACGTATGTAATACCCAGCTTTTTTTTTTAACTTTCTCTTGTACGCCACGTAAAGGTTTCGGTACCTACTTACTGTATATTGTGTCTTTATTGTAACTAAAAGAAAAATTCAAAATAAAGTATTATCTCAGGATAGGCTGCATTAAAACGAAAGTTTTTTTTAACCTATATATAAAACCATAAACTTACCTTGCATAGTAGCTTCTACCAGGGCAGGGGGGAGTGTCTGTGGAGGAGGCGGAGTTTCAGTTTCCTCCATATCCTCTTCTGTGGCAGGGGGAGGAGTCAATTCCTCTTCTGCTGTGGAAGGGGGAGGAGTCATCACCTCTTCTGCTGTGGAAGGGGGAGGAGTCAGCACCTCTTCTGTGGGAGGGGGAGGAGTCAATGCCTCTTCTGTTGGAGGGGGAGGAGTCGATTCCTCTTCTGCTGGAGGGGGAGGAGTCAATACCTCTTCTGCTGTGGGAGGGGGAGAAGTCAATGCCTCTTCTGATGTGGGAGGGGGTGGAGTCAATGCCTCTTCTGCTATTAGGGGGGGGGGAGTCAGCTCCATTTCTTCAACACTTTCCGCTACAACTGGTACCGTTTCTGCAGGATCTGGCACCGGGGATTCTTCAATAACCTCCACTTGAGTAGGAGCGAGGCATTCTTCTTGCTCTTCAGTTTCGACGGGCGCTTTCTCCTCTTCAGGTTCGACGGACATCTCCTCTTCCTCCTCCTCCTCCTCCTCTTCCTCCTCTTCCTCGACGACAAGCTCAACTGGAGTCTCCTCGACAGGTGTGGGCTTCTCAACCACAGGAGGAGATGAAAGTGGGGTTTGGAGAATTGGCGCCTGAGTGACGGGGGTTTCTACCACGTCGCTGATATCGGGTTCGGCGATAGGGCTGTCGTCTCTCTCTGTCGTCGTGCGTGCGGTAATAGTTTCCGGCACCTCTGGATCTCGAGGGGCCGGCAGTGGGAGGCCATTGGGGAGACGAAGCTCCTCTGGTTGTGCAATGGGAGACTCAAGAGGGGCCTCCAGGTGAGCGGGGGGCACCACGACTGACGGCTTTTCTGGCTCCACTTCAGCGACACCATTCGTGGTAGAAAGAGAACAACGAGGCACATCTTCTACTTCTTCTTTCTGCTGCTTCACCACCACCCCGTCTTTCTTGATTTTTGCAGCAGATCGTATCGCAGCAGGGAGGGGGGCAGGGTAGGCGGGCACTTCTGGGGCAGATTTGGGAGATGGGGTGGGGTCTCTGGTAGGCCGAGGAGCATCCATTACGTCTGCAATAACAGGGGCAGTTGGTGCAGGAGTGGGAAGAGGGAGAGTTTCGAGAGGGAGATCTTGAGGGGGTTCAGAGGGAGCAGTGTTCGTGTCAGAGGAGGCAGATTCTGTGAGGAGGGGTTCGCTTTTAGCAAGTTCAGGGGTTTTTGACGGAGGAGGGGGCGTAGGTCTCCCTCTGTCATCTGGAGGGGACAGAAAAAAAAGATGTCAAGATGTTAGAAAAGTATCACTCGTCTCCCAGCTTGAGCTTCAATATCGGGATACCTCATGCAACCCAGAGACTTTCAATACACCAAACCCTTTTGAATGTATTGTCAATTTGGTCCGTCTGCCCTGTATCTATTTTATGTTTTGTTATTTGTACTGTTGGAGTATTCCTTTGATTCCTTGTAAGGTGACCTTGGGTGCCTTGATAGGTGCCTACAAATATGATGTTTTATTTATTACATGTATTTCTGATCCTCTCCAGAATGGAAGCAGTCATCACATACAGAGCATCAAGTAGTTCCTGAGCAGTGTCCTTCACATGCTGATATCCAAGAGAGGGAGTTACACAGTCACAAGATGGAGGAATGGAAAGCAGTATTCAATGTTTACTTCAGATTAGCTCCACGTCAGAAATGAGCATGCTTGATGTCTCTCTCCATAGAGGCTGAATCATCATGTTAATCACATAGCTATCATATGCCTCAAACAGTCCTGATGCTCTTCTAGGTAATCACACATCCTGTCAGTCTTCAGAAAACAATAATTTTAGAGTTAATATTGAATTTATTGTCATGGCTGAAACTTAATGTTTTTTAATAAAAGTTAATCTGCTGATTATGTTCTCGTTTAATAATTTGATGTATAAATATGCATAAATAGTAATACATGTCCATCCCAGTTTCACAGAGTCTAAGGAGAAGTATTAAAATGGCTGGTTTTGTCAGTCCAAATAACAAAGACTTTTTCTTCCACTATTTTCTGACATTTTATAGACCAAATAACGACTTGAGAAAGCATTTGTCAGTTGCAGCTCAGTCAGATCTTGTTATATCGGCAATATTAAAACAATAATTGTGAAATTGTACTTGTAAAAAGTCCTGTGTGAACTCACCAGGTCTAACCAGCGCTGCAGCAGATGTGACGCTCTCACCGTTCGCCTGAACCGTCGGACTGTCTGATAACTGAAGGAGACACAAAACACACCACAAAGAAAGTAAGAATTACATCATCAGTGAACACAACACTAACTGTTAGAGCCAGTATTTTGTTTTTATAAGAAAGGCCAACTAATCGTGACGTCTGTAGTCAACGAGAGTATAAAAGACTACATTTCCCACTGCGCCTCCTCTGAAAAACAGTTTCTAACCGTCCAATTACCCTTTAAGTTATCAAGTTATATTACAGGGTCTATGCAGGAATCCTAAAGTCAAATTTAAGACCTTTTAAGACCCTGTCCATACATGTTAAGACCTCATCGCCACTTTGAGTTCTAACCGGTTACCTTGGCGACACACTTTACCTCACATTGACTATATACAGTATTGATTGTCCTTCCTCCTCATCTTCCAACCATTTGGACGCAGACTTGCATTTCCCCATAACGATGTTGCTTGGCAACCAGCGTAAACGGACCTTCGCGCTATCAAGCAGTGAGCGCGCGATGTCCTGTTCAGATGACGTCAAACCCAACGGGATGCCATCAATAAACTACACAGAATCACACTACACACCTACGCAACAGGGTTTCCGTTAGCCGGTAATTACCGTTTTTTTAGCCGGTAAAATTGAATAAAAACCGGTAAATTCCAAACCTGCCGGTCAAAATGTCCGATGCTCCGATCGATTGGCCGCCGATCATTATCGGCCGATATTCACTCTTAATAGTTTGATCTGTGCTCTCTATAAAGGCCGACCAGGAGAGCTGGATCTGATCGATATGGACATAAACGCGAGTGAAGTATAACCGGACCCGAGAGAGATCAGATCAGCTGCTGCATAATCACCTGAAGCCCCGCCCACTGTTTAGCGAACTGCATGAGAAACTGACGGGCTGTCGAGAGAGAGAGAGAGAGAGAGAGAGAGAGAGAGAGAGAGAGAGAGAGAGAGAGAGAGAGAGAGAGAGAGAGAGAGAGAGAGAGAATAATGTACTTCATCTACAAGTAGTTTGTTTGAATGTAATTATGTTGTTTGTTGAATCATTTATTGTCAAAATGAATCTGAACTTTTCGATCTGTAACGATTATAAACTGAAGCAATATAAAAATGACTCCCATTAACTGAGTTTTAAACATCAGCATATCCGGTCCTAATCCGGTAATTACCTGCTAACGGAAACTCTGCTACACCATTCTTATTATTATTATTGAAACATGACCGGTAAGTTTCAAATGTGTCCGGTAAAATAAATCCTGTTCAGACATTTGACCGGCAAGGAAAAAATCCTAGCGGAAACCCTGATACGCGATGATTACATTCAGGCAGACTGTAGAACACAACCTCTTTGGACCATTTATATACTTATTGAAAACAAGCTACAAAATGTAATACCTTGGAAAATGCCGTTTAACAGACTTCATTTATCAACTTTTAATACTTTTTAAGACCCCGCGGACCCCCTGATCATCTAAAAACCATCGGTGGCCAAGCAGCTCTTCAAACGGTAAGTAATATAAAGGAAAGACGACGAGTTAAAAAATATCTGTTCAAGGCTTGATAGAGAAACAAGGAAGGAAGCCACCACACTAATGCTTCCAAATAGAGTAATTCACGTTGCTGGATCTATGTAGCACATGTGAGAATGACTCGTATATCAGCGTGATTTTAGACAGGTCGTAGTGTTACATGTGTTCGAGGAATGGAAATCTGCAGCATTCCCAGTAAAGCCGTAACATATGGAGCGCAGGCAAGTCCATTCCTGTTTTATATACAAGTGCTACAATAGACTTAAGCTGACGTTTACACAGGAGGAATGTTTTGTGTTATGTGTGTGTATATAAGATTTGAATATTGCAGTAACAGTGTCACTTTGGATAATTAAAAGACAAGTGTTGGTGTTGTAGGCGTCTTCTTTGAATATAGTGCTAAACAACGACTTAATGGACGAAATAAAACTACATTTTTCGGTGTCGATTTCTACTACTCCTCTACGGATAAACAAAATACCTGAGTGCTCACAGTCTTTTGTGGTTGTCAACATGACTGAGTTAGTCATTTCACTTAAATGTAGTTTCATAATTTGCCTGAATCGTTTATAGAAGTTATTACATTGATAATCAAAAAGATATTAAAATGAAATCAGTTCTGCTGCTTTGAAAATCCTGTTCAAATACATCAAATAAAATAAAGAATGATCGTAACATTAAAAAGTGCCATTTTCTAAATTCAGTCGTTGAGGTTGACATTGTGACGAACATAATGATATTTTACAAACCCTGATTTACATATGGAAAGTAGGGCTGCACGATATATCGCGTTGTGACTATAATCGCAGTCACATCGCAATTTCTTTAAACATTTTTTTAAGACTTGATATTAAGCAGGCAAATGAACTCAAACAATTCTTTTGCTGCTTGCTACAAAAGGAAAACTTGCGCGGCTCTCATGTCAGGGGCACTTGAGTGAGTGACCTTATCCTTACGCCTGTATCTACTTGTCTTTTTATTTTATTTAATATTTTTTTATAACTAATGCTTTTGATATATTGTGATTTTAAGGCTTCTATTATCATCTGACAACAGCTGGAAATTAGCCATGTCGGCTAAAGCTGCTCCATTTACTGTTTTTGTGACAGTTCATCGATGGGGACTGTCCACGACACTATAAATAAATAAACGACCAATCACAATCAAATCTCCAAAGCAAACGGACCCCGTGATTAAAAGGTAGAAACACTGAATAAAGTCGTTTCCTGTGTTTCTCCAGGGCAGTTCGGCGCTGCTAACCGAGCTAGCTCAGCTTGTTGCTCTGATAACTTCAGATCCAGACGTCCGTGACTAAAATCCTTCATCCGGTTAAATGTAGTTAAAAAGAATACCTATTGTTTAGCATTAAAGTTCAAGAAAGGAAAAAAAAACTGTCTTCAATTCCTGTATGTTTTCATATCGCAGGGAGGAAAATATATCGCAATGTCAGTTTTTTACAATATTCGTTAAGCCCTAATGGAAAGTCAAAGAAGAGTCATAACACTCAGATTTAATTGTTTAAGTCATCTCTGAGTGTTATAGCAGTCTTACAATTGAGGTGATGATAAATAACATTGTGTAACCCATACAGTAGAATATATAAGAAAAGTATGATTTGTAGTCAGTCTTTAACCTAAACTCCCATTTCTTAAATGTACATATCATTGTTGTAAAGGTTTCAAAATTACAGGAGCAAAGTAGCAGCAGATATTAAAGTATATGCTTTTAGTATATTGCCTAAATACAACTAATTGGTTGTTGAATTAACAAAAATAAGGTAATTATTTATAAAACAATTGTATTAAAAACACATTTAAATAAGACGACAATTATATTTTAACTAATTAGGCTATTAAAACCTTCCAAATTGACACGTGTTGCAGCCCCTAGCTTAAGTAAAAAGCATAAGCAACATGACTGAGTGAGTCATTTCACTAAACATACATTTTACAAATTTGCCTGAATCTTTTTATGCGTCTAAAAATAGAAAGGTGAAACTGAAGCTGGTGTTTCTGCTGTGTTGGCACTTATTGAAGCTCACCTGTGGTGGGGTTGGGGTCGAGCCGCTGCGACCCCCGGACATAATCTCATCTGTAATATCCCGACCTCCTTGGTTAGGGTCTCTTATTCTGATCTGTGGAGGAAAAGGAGACGACATGGTTACCGGTGAATCCGTGTGTGAGAGTTAGGAAGTTAACATGTGTCAGGGAGACGACGGAAGCATGTAAGAGAATGCCATCATACACATTTCTATTCAATACAATACAGAATAACCTGGCAATGCAACAATTAGATCTTTAATTTAATAATATCGGCATGGTAACACTTAAAATACACGCCTCAGTCATGTGAAGCAACCAATATACACATAAAGGGAATAAGAGCAACCGGATTCGAGGTGAAATTCAATATAATCCATTAGATAATCTGAATGTGAGTGAAGGACAGTGTGAGGGTGAAAGGGTTCAACCGTGCAGCCTGAGGACAGCAACATGTAAGAGTAGAGTTCCCATGATGCAACGCTTACATTGTCAGCCTTTTTTGGTGACTGGTCGCTGCCTGATTCAATGAAAGCTAAATATCTCACTTTGTGAACACTGAGGCACGCAGGGAAAAATACAAACTGTACACGCTATGCAAATTCCTCGGCTGCACACAATGTGCATCCGTCTGATTGTCACCAGAAAGACTTGTGTTTAGATTTACATTTTTTTAAACACAGACAGAGAGACACACACACACACACAGACAGACACAGAGAGACAGCGACACACACACACACAGACAGAGACTCACAGACACACACACACACACACACACACACACACACACACACACACACACACAGACACAAGATCTAATCAATTACCAAGGAGTGCCATTACATTACAAACACATGCTCTCCTTTTTCCTCTCACTCTCACTCTACATACTAAAAGAGCTGTCATGCTATGAGCCACCGCTGCTAAATCTAAGCACACTCACACACTCCGGACAATTATTCAACTGGAAAAGTTTACAGGCCTACTGTTAGACTTTAAGAAATATTTTATCGTCGTCACTGACCTTTCAAATCTACAACCCCCTTCTCCATTTCGGAAGCATTACTAACCTTAACAGGCCTCTCTCATCCTGGGGCTGTGGGTTCAGTGATCCAGCCGCTGGACTTTAAACTCCACAAAGCAGCAGCAGCTCCACAAGTTTTGTAACTTTAACTCAGCATAGCTCACACACACATCTACACTTAGCCTGGGCCTGACCGTCAGTACGCCAGCTAGCTCACTCGCTCGCTACTTGAATAACTGTCTAAGCAGAATAGGGGAGGAAAGAAAAAGAAAAAAAATAGGATAAAGCGAGTGGCCTTGTAAAGCTATGGTACTGGAATGTGCTGCCCCTCCCACAGAGGCTAACAGACAGTTAAAGGGGCCGGGGAGTGAACGAGGTGCAAAGGAGGAGGGGGGAGGGGGGGAGAAAGAAAATCAAATGAGCAGCAGCTAGCCGAAGAAACTCCCCCTTTCCCTCATTCTTTGCCCTGTCATCCTGCGGGGCATTCCTTGGATATATCTTTTTTTTTTCAAGCTCACCCCTTTTAGAGAGGAAGGGGAGGGTTGGTTAGCCCTTCCGGCTCAAAAGGGGGAGGAGATGATGGCCACGTGGAGCTGAGCTATGTGCTGACATGTCCTTCAACCCCCCCTCCTCCTCCACCTCCTTCCCATGGGTCTTTTTCTCTGACACACAGAGCAGAAAAGGGGGCAATTTTGCAGAGACTTTTGACCGTAACCAGCTTATTAAAAAAGGGAGAAGAGTGGGGGGGAAAGGGTTGCAGTTAACGCTGTAAGGGCAAGAACGGCCGATGTGTTATCAGAAATCATTTCTAACTGTTGCTCGAGTGGTACAAACTACACTCTTACACTTATAACTGACAAAGGATGCATTTGAGGACTTTTGACCATCACCAGAAATGGTGGAAGACTGACAATGTTATCTGAAATCTGTTCTAACGGCCCGTCCACACTACAGCTTCAAAAAAAGCTTGGAGCTGGGCGTGTCTGAAGCTCGACCAACAACCAATCACATGAATCTCCCGCCCCTGACACACAAGCAGCGGTTTGATTGGCTAGAGCTTGTACTGGTATATGATTTGATTGGCTGACGCTTCCACCGAAAGCTTCAGAAGCTTCAAAAGTTGAACATTGCTCAACTTTTGAAGCCTGAAACGCCAGGAAAGCTCCGCTCTGCTTCCCACAATGCAGTTCGGCGAAAAGTGACGTCACCCCATTCAAAGTGAATGGGCAGACGCGTTGGAAACCGTTTTTGAAGCTGTCGAAGCTGTAGTGTGGACGGGCCGTTACTGTTTACAGATTATCTCAAACAAACTATAGTCTCACTTTTATTGAATTGTAAGAGACGTTATGGAGCTTATAACTGACAGTGGATTTGTTTTAGGAGTTCTTATCCGTGTTGAAAGGACATGGTTTTAAACTGATTTGATCTCATGGTTTATTCCGCGACGCATAGTGTGTGAAGTCTGTTTCATTCTGAATCGGTTGACAGAACATTTAGAAAAGGCATCAAGTCACAGATATAGAAACCCTCATGCTTGCTCTGCACTTGTTCTATTTGTTTTATGTGTCTATTGTCACGTTTTAAGTCTTTTAACATGCTGCTGTGACCAAAAAATATATCCCTAACCTTAGTTCAACTTAAAAGAAAATGCTAACAATTGGCTTTACAGGTCATAAAACCAAAAGGCAGCCACTATTAAAATGGTTCAACAGGAGGAAAACCGATACAAGTACAGTAGGGTTGCAGAATTAATCTAAATCGCAATATGGACAAGAGCCATATTTAATTTCAGGATGCACAATATTTGTTAAAGGCTACGTATGTGCTGCAGAGCCATCCCGAGCTACAAATCGACTTAACACAACAAATGTGTCTGGCACAGATTCTCTCAAAAAGCCCACAATGATCATTTTATTAAATTGTTCTGGAGGGTCCGTCGAGACCCTCTGCTTTCACTGCCACCCTTCTGGCAGGGAAAATAAAGTTTGGGGCTCTCTGCTGGAACTGCTACCCCCGCGACCCGACCACGGATAGGCGGGAGAGGATGGATGGATGGATGGATGGATGGATGGATGGATAGATGGATGGATGGATGGATGGATGGATGGATGGATGGATGGATGGATGGATGGATGGATGGATGGATGGATGGAGGCTTCTGTAAATCGGCATGCAAGGGGTTTTACATTGTGTGTGAGGGAGCAGTTGTGTGACGTAGACATTGGTCGGGTTATAGCATCAGCAGGGACCAATGGAAATGGACCAAAGTCCACCCTTAGGTGACAGAAGTGGCTGATAAGCAGTCGAGTCACAACGTGAGAGGGTCCTGACATCATGCACAACCTGCAGCTATTCCCTGGTAATGGATTATTAAGGAATGGACACTCTACTAAGCCTGAATGATATGTTATCTCTTTCAACAGAGGAAACATTGGATTGGGAAACAAATGAAGATGGTCTCATTTAAACCTCCAAAGAAAACGTAATCAAAATTGTGGCAGAAGCTTAAAGCTAGGTTTAGTTGACATAAAACACAACAGGCCACAGTTAAAAGAATGATAGTTCAACTTTAAAGTGTCTTTTTTGTACTGATATTGTTTAAAATGACTCCCTGAATGTTTTCAAAATCTATCAAGATGACAATAAAATACACTTTCTGCTGCCATAATGTAGTGAGTCATTTCACTAAACTTCAGTTCTACTTGTGTGTCTGCTGCGAGGGGGACCCAAGTTCCCATCAGCAGAAACACGTGGGTTTGCTATCCTGGCTCCAAGATGGTGGAATGAGCTCCCCATTGACATCAGGACAGCAGATAGCTTACACACCTTCCGGCGCAGACTGAAAACTCATCTCTTTCGACTCCACTTCGAGCGATAGAATTACTAACAAAGCACTTATATACTAATAAAGGACTGGCTTATCTAAAGCCAGTTGAGTAGCACTTGAAATGTTTTTTCTCTATGAAACCTGATGTACTGATATGATTCTGTTTTCTTCAAGGTTGTGTCTTCTTGGTCGAATGCACTTATTGTAAGTCGCTTTGGATAAAAGCGTCAGCTAAATGCAATGTAATGGTTTTCATATAATTTAGGTTTAATAAAGCAGAGTGCCAGCATTCCACACCAACATCAATAGGCGCTTTCACACCGCAGTACTTTTCCCACAAAGGTTCATGAGAACTTAGTTCATGAGAACTCTTTAGTTCTCATGAACTAAGTACAGATCGCGTTCACACCGGAATAAGTCCCTGAGGGAGGATTAGGCAAATGAAGCCACTGACGTCACTTCTTCTTCTGCTTTGGGTTTACTGGCAGGCCGCAAACAGCTTCACGGCGTATACTGCCACCCGAAGTCCCCGGCTGGAAGTCCCCGGAGTTGGGGACTGGCTTCAGTAGAAGCTGCTGGGACTCCCAGCAGCTTCTACTGAAGCCTTCCGAGTAAATCGCCAGAACGCTGACACCTCCTCATCTCCACCGCTCCCATGTTTTATTTTGTGTTGCCATAAGTTAGTCTCTCTGCGTTTGTGCTCTGGGCTAATGCTAATGCTAATAATGCTAATGCGAGGATAATAAAATGGCAGCTTCACAAAACTTTTTGGGAGTTTTACGGGGCGTGGTTTGCAATCCGCCCAGCCAATCAGACATAGGAACCTTTTTCTCCCACGAAAGTCCCTGCTCTCTAGCAGGGACGGAAAAGGGGGTAAAAAGGTTCTCATTAACTAATTTTAGTTCCAGCTCTTTTTGGTGTGAACGCGCCATTTTGGAACTATATCGGAACTAAAGTGGGAATAGTTTTTTATTTAATAGGTTTTCATATCAAAGACCTCAGTACATTTCTTTCTTATCCTATTGCCAATATCATCAACCTCTCTTTCTGTCAAGGAATGTTTCCAAATGTCTGGAAGCCGGCTGTAGTTACCCCAATCTTTAAAGGTGGAGACCCAATGTCTACCAATAACTACAGGCCAATTAGTATCCTTCCTACAGTATCAAAAGTCGTTGAAAAACTTGTAGCTGAACAAATTATGAACCATCTGAATAACAGGGCTTTTTCTCTGCATCCAATGCAATTTGGCTTTAGGGCCAAATACTCTACAGAAACAGCCAACCGTTTCTTCACAGAACAAATCAAATCCAAAATGGATAAAGGTGGTGTTGTAGGAGCAGTGTTTCTCGACTTAAAGAAGGCCTTTGACACTGTTAACCACAAAAAACTCATATCTAAGCTATCCAGCATTAACTTCTCCACACTAACACTTAAATGGATAGAATCATATTTGTTCAACCGTTCTCAGTATGTCAGAGTACAGAATAATCAATCATCTAACCTCCAGCTGTCCACAGGTGTCCCACAAGGGTCAATTCTGGGTCCATTGTTATTTTCATTGTATATAAACGACTTACCATCGATATGTCCTGACAAACATCCAAATGTATGCTGATGATACTGTAATTTATGTTCACGGAGGCAGTCTGACACAAGTGGCTAATGAACTGACGAACAAGATGGTTCATGTAACAGCTTGGTTGGAGCAATGCTGTCTGCAACTAAATGTCAGTAAAACTGTATGTATGTTCTTCACCAAAACCAAGTCCTCCTGCGTTGAGCCAGATGTGTTTGTGTCCGGGGAGAGGCTACAGGTGGTCTCAGAGTACAAATACCTGGGGGTCTTCATTGATTCAAGACTCAATTTTAAGGCTCAGGTGAAAAAGGTTTGCAACAGGGTGAAATTCAGTCTGTTCAATTTGAGGTTTACCAGGAACTGCATGTCAACAGAGGCGGCTCTGATGTACATGCACTCTATGGTTCTATCTCATATCACATACTGCTTAACAACCTGGTCACATGCCCGAACAACCACTCTTAAACCGCTGGAATCATTATACAAACAAACACTTAAAATAGTAGATAAGAAATCAGTTTATTCTCATCATTGCCCAATACTAAAATATAACTTGTTGAGCTGGGAAAATGTAATGAGATATGCAAATGCTTGCCTCATGTACAAAATAATACACGGCCTTAACTCACCTCCGCTCAGGCATTTTATCACCATACGCACACCTGTAACTCGGTCAACAAGAGCTGCAACAAGAGGAGACTGCGTTGTTCCATTAAGGAAGAGTTCATTCAGCCAATCTTCTTTTTCTTTTAAAGCTGCACAACAGTGGAACTCAATCCCAGTAACGATTAGAGAACAAAACACCTGCAGTTTATTTAAATCTACCTTAAAAACATGGTTAGTGGAAAGTCAGCTCTGTCAACACTGACACAATCTGTACATTACAACGCTCTGTTTGTACATATGCCTTGAACTGTATCTGTCTGCTTTGTGAATTTGTATTTACCTGTTATTTGAAGTGAATTTTTGTTTTTAGGATGACTTTTAACATCTGTCCAGGGACTACAGACGAAGAAATAGCCTGTTGGCTAACTCTAGCGCATTTACAGAAATGTCAATCAATGTGCACTGTCCGTGTCAAATAAATATATAAATAAAATCAATATAATGTAGGTTTAATAAAGCAGAGTGCCAGCATTTCACACCAACATCATATTCCTTTAAAATAGAAAAAGGGATGGACAGAGGAGCCATTGGATTCCTGAAATCAGATAATGACCTTTTACTTCTCACCCTCCACGATGTAGAAAAAGCTTCAATGAGTCCGACTGTGACAAAAGCTCAAAGCTAGCCCAATTTAGTCGATAGAGGTCAAGGAGAGGAAAAACTGGGCAAATAGAGCCATGTTCAGATAGCTGAAGTCTGTGCCTCGTGTTTACATTTTGAGACTTTCGCAAAACCGTAAAACACTCCGGAGAGTTCTAGAAAAACTTGGAAAAAAGTTGCAGGTGACTGAAGATTTTAAGACTTATATAGAAGCGTATATATAGAAGTCTGTAAATGACTATATCTTGAATTCAACCAGCCTCACAAAGATGTCAAAACTATGATTACACAAGAGGCACACACTACGGCTTCAGTTCCCTTTCCCACAGATGACGAGGGTGAAATAAAAGAGCGAGTGAGAAATACAAAACTTAACTGTGTAGAAGACTACTTTTTTTATTATAGCCGCTTAAAAAGAGGTTATAAGGAATCTGTAAATAGATTGCTCAGATCTAACCAGCATTACAGAGAGAACTATGATTACACGAGAGGCTTCAGTTCACAGCGAGCTACCACATACCAGGCCAGGGCCATCTTGCAGAGCAACAAGGAAACACTAGACATACTGTGGACCTGGAATATGTCGTTCAGCCGCTTTCTCTTACAGCGAGTTAAGGTCAAGTTCAACACTCTCTGCTTCAATCGGTAAACTAAAACCTGCATCAAGAGTGAATAGTCCAGAGTGACCCCAAGTCCTCTCCAGACAGACTGCAATGACTCAGGTGAGCTGACAACATTGGATTAATGAGGGAAAAGAGCCTTGAGCAAACAAAACATTTCTTTAAATTTGGCTTTTCATTGAATTGTATTTATTCTTTATTTCTTCTGTCCTGTGTGTATTGACTTCTGTTAGTATAACTTAGTATCTGCAACTATTAAGTGTCTTAGTTAATCAAAGTTAAATGTTTCTCTATTACCTAGAAGGGGAGGTTAACTTGTTAGTTTCTGTCGTTTTGAGTCCATGATAGTTTCCTGTTAACGTTTCCACTATGTTAATTAAATATAAGTCAGCAGGGTAGTTCATTCCGATTATGAAATGTTAGTAGCTGTGGTGAGCTGAAGCTGGGCTATATGACACGTCACCACCGCTAAGCTAAAGGTGGCTAATGTTGGGCTATAAAGGAACTACAGCACAGTCACATGACTTCACGTCACCACCGCTAAGCTAAAGGTGGCTAATGTTGGGCTATAAAGGAACTACAGCACAGTCACATGACTTCACGACACCACCGCTAAGCTAAAGGCGGCTAATGTTGGGCTATAAAGGAACTACAGCACGGTCACATGACTTCACCACCGCTAAGCTAAAGGCGGTTAATGTTGGGCTATAAAGGAACTACAGCACGGTCACATGACTTCACGTCACCACCGCTAAGCTAAAGGTGGCTAATGTTGGGCTATAAAGGAACTACAGCACGGTCACATGACTTCACGTCACCACCGCTACGCTAAAGGAGGCTAATGTTGGGCTATAAAGGAACTACAGCACGGTCACATGACTTCACGTCACCACCGCTAAGCTAAAGGCGGCTAATGTTGGGCTATAAAGGAACTACAGCACGGTCACATGACTTCACGTCACCACCGCTAAGCTAAAGGGGGCTAACGTTGGGCTATAAAGGAACTACAGCACGGTCACATGACTTCACGTCACCACCGCTAAGCTAAAGGCGGCTAATGTTGGGCTATAAAGGAACTACAGCACGGTCACATGACTTCACATCACCACCGCTAAGCTAAAGGCGGCTAATGTTGGGCTATAAAGGAACTACAGCACGGTCACATGACTTCACGTCACCACCGCTAAGCTAAAGGCGGCTAATGTTGGGCTATAAAGGAACTACAGCACGGTCACATGACTTCACGTCACCACCGCTAAGCTAAAGGGGGCTAACGTTGGGCTATAAAGGAACTACAGCACGGTCACATGACTTCACGTCACCACCGCTAAGCTAAAGGCGGCTAATGTTGGGCTATAAAGGAACTACAGCACGGTCACATGACTTCACATCACCACCGCTAAGCTAAAGGCGGCTAATGTTGGGCTATAAAGGAACTACAGCACGGTCACATGACTTCACGTCACCACCGCTAAGCTAAAGGCGGCTAATGTTGGGCTATAAAGGAACTACAGCACGGTCACATGGCTTCACGTCACCACCGCTAAGCTAAAGGCGGCTAATGTTGGGCTATAAAGGAACTACAGCACGGTCACATGACTTCACGTCACCACCGCTAAGCTAAAGGCGGCTAATGTTGGGCTATAAAGAAACTACAGCACGGTCACATGACTTCACGTCACCACCGCTAAGCTAAAGGCGGCTAATGTTGGGCTATAAAGGAACTACAGCACGGTCACATGACTTCACGTCACCACCGCTAAGCTAAAGGCGGCTAATGTTGGGCTATAAAGGAACTACAGCACGGTCACATGACTTCACGTCACCACCGCTAAGCTAAAGGCGGCTAATGTTGGGCTATAAAGGAACTACAGCACGGTCACATGACTTCACGTCACCACCGCTAAGCTAAAGGAGGCTAATGTTGGGCTATAAAGGAACTACAGCACGGTCACATGACTTCACGTCACCACCGCTAAGCTAAAGGCGGCTAATGTTGGGCTATAAAGGAACTACAGCACGGTCACATGACTTCGATACACTCGATAAGCCATGTTAGAGATGTTCAGTGTAGCGTTACTGTACCTGTTTGCGTTCCCGTTTGGAGGCGATGTGTTGCTGCTGCTGTGGAGGCTGCTGATGCTGCTGCTGCTGTTGCTGCTGCTGTTGCTGTTGCTGCTGCTGCTGTTGCTGTTGTTGTTGTTGTTGTTGCTGCTGCTGCTGCTGTTGTTGCTGCTGCTGCTGCTGCTGTTGTTGTTGTTGTTGAGGAGTCGGGCTCATAATGACGGGCGCCGCCTGCACCGGGGGGGTGAACTGAGGCTGGGCGGGGTAGTAGGCCGCTGCTATGGATCAGGCAGAGAGAACAATGTAAACCAACACATACTGACTTAATCCTGCAGCCATAACTTCACACAAACAGGCTGTTGAACACACTCACTCTCACTCTCACTCTCACTCAGGATCACAACATCTCTCGACAGCAAAAAGTGAGTGTTGACACAACGGCATTATGTTGTGCAAAGCACCGTCAGGCTATAGTTATGGGTACGTTTGTGTTTGTCATGTTCTGCTGCTTTTAAAAACCTCTTAGAATATTTAACAAATTGTACGGCGTCCTTGGGTGCCTTAAATAAAATGTATTATTATAGTTAGGAAATCTGTTTCTAGAGAATGAAGGTTTCATTTCTCTATGATTTGCAGGGCAACAGCTGCATGCACGTATTAAAGGTATAATATCATTACAGTGAGGTAAGAGCACGTATTTAGAGAACTCACTGCCAACTCCGGATGTATCACATGTACGGCATTGGTTCAGTACTACGCATTAAAATATGAATATACCTGAAATGAACCCAAATTCCTAGATTACATGAAACTAAAATAACCAATGCTGACATTCTCGCTCGTGACATTATTCCTGTCAACTTTGTAGAGTTACCTTGCACTAGGGCTGCAGGATAAATGCATCTGCGGAGATATCTCGGCCTACAAATCACCTTCTACAGACCTCATAAAAACATATTCCTTGGTAGAGATCCTCTTTAAAATAATCACACGCGTATCAGGGTTTCCGCTAGGATTTTTTCTCGCCGGTCAAATGTCCGGACAGAATTTATTTTACCGGACAAATTAGAAACTTACCGGTCATGTTTCAATAATAATAATAATAAGAATGGTGTAGCAGAGTTTCCGTTAGCAGGTAATTACCGGACTAGGACCGGATATGCTGATGTTTAAAACTCAGTTCATGGTAGGGCTGCACGGTATTTGAAAAAAACTGACATTGCGGTTTTTTTCCCCCCTGCGGTATATATATATATATAGCGTTTTTTTTAACCTGTTAAACCCCAAAGTCCCGGCGGATACTTTACTCTTATTTTTCACGACAGTGTCTCAGGGGATCGTAATATTTAAGAACCTATTAATGTGTTATACCAGATTAACGGAAATAATCTCAGCTAACTGACGATACAAACCATTTTATACCAAAACAAAACACAAGTCTCATAAGAAGCATCTAAATGACCCCTGAGCGAAAAATGGTAACGCACTTTGGCACAGAACTCAAGATAAAAGTACCCTTATTACTTATCGTAGCTGCACATACAAGATATCCGATTAAAGCTGAGGTTCCACAGATTATTTAGGTATATAGTATCATCACTGAGTGATCTGAACTCGGACAGGGGAAGCAAACACAGACATCACAACACGTACCTTTACGTAGCTTCGAGGGGAGATGTTTCACCGTAGCTGTCAATCTGATCAAAAGACGTGTTCAATGGCATTAAAACGAGAAAGAAAAAACGCGGCTGAATCGGTTAATCCATAGGTTTTTAACGTCTCTGTATAAAAAAATGATTTAATTTATAATCCATAATTCCATTTTTATGTAAATATCGCAGAGCAAAAGTTAGCTGCTAATGGTAGCCACCAGAGTGGCTGCTGCTTCCGGTCTTGGCTATGCGGAAGTCTCTCACACACACATTACCAAATAAGGACTGTGTGATTTCCCCTCGATTCCATTGGCTCTGACGGTCAGAAAGAGATGTCACATGTCAAAATCCAGCAAGGTGGGCCAGAGATATGGAAAATCCACCCAAATGGCCCCAGAAGAGGGTTTTTTGTCCTAAATCTGTCTAAAAAGTCAAATATCAGGGGAAGTTCTACACACACCAACACACCAACAAATAAGGAGTGAGAGTGACGACGCGTAGCCAAAACCGGAAGCTGCATACCACCAAGGTGGCTACCATTAGCAGCTAACTTTTGTGATCCGATTTTTACATAAAAATGGAATTATGGATTATAAACAATTGCTTCAAAGCCACAGATACATTATCAACCTATGGATCAACCGATTCAGCCGCGTTTTTTCTTTCTCGTTTTAATGCCATTGAACACGTCTTTTGATCAGATTGACAGCTCCGGTGAGACGATCTCCCGTAAAAGCTCCGTAAAAGGTACGTGTTGTGATGTCTGCGTTTGGTTCCCCTGTTGCGAGATCGGATCGCTTAGATACTATACTTAAATAATCTGTGGAGTCTCAGCTTTAATCGGATATATTGTATGTGCAGTTTCGATAAGTAATAAGGGTATCTTTATTTTGAATTCTGTGCTAAAGTGCGTTAGCATTTTTTTTTTTTTTATGAATAAAACCGCACGTCCCTGCGGTGTGAATACCGCGTATGCGCATACCGCGGTTATCGCCATGACACGGTATATCGTTCAGCCCTAGTTCATGGGGCTCATTTTTATATTGCTTCAGTTTATAATCGTAACAGATCGAAAAGTTCAGATTCATTTTTCAATAAATGATTCCACAAACATAATTATTACATTCAAAGAAATTACTTGTAGTAGATGAAGTACATTATACAAAAGTTTAAATTAACTTTGAATAATAACATGGGAGACAGCCCGTCAGTTTCTCATGCAGTTCGCTAAACAGTGGGCGGGGCTTCAGGTGATTATGCAGCAGCTGATCTGATCTCTCTCTCGGGTCCGGTTATACTTCACTTGCGTTTATGTCCATATCGATCAGATCCAGATCTCCTGGTCGGCCTTTATAGAGAGCACCGATCAAACTATTAAGAGTGAATATCGGCTGATAATGATCGGCGGCCAATCGATCAGAGCATCGGACATTTTGACCGGCAGGTTTTGAATTTACCGGTTTTTATTACCAGCTAAAAAAACGGTAATTACCGGCTAACGGAAACCCTGACGCGTACCATTTTAATACATGATGAGATTAATGATGCTAAAAGGATCAATCCCTCAACTATCGTGATTCATGTTGCCACACGGTCAAAGATAAACGCAATTAGTTATTTCTTCCAAATACTGAAGCCATATTTTTTTGCATTTCCTGTATTGTGAGCTTCTATGTTGCATGTTTTGAATGATTCTAGTCAATATAATGTATAGGGGTTTTTGGGGTTCTCTGAAACATCTGTCCAGGGGTCACAGATGTAAAAATGTTGCTTTTACAGCGATGATTGTCAATGTGCACTGTGCCTTTAAACATGAATCAATACAAGCAGAATCTCTATCAAAGCAACATGTCAGGGTTATTGACAAAACCATATCAAAATAACCCTAATTTAATACATTTCCCTTAAAATGTAAGACCTTACAGATAGGCCCCTCAGACCATGAAACGGCTCCGTCAATAAACCTGTTGGCAAAATGACAAAAACCCCAGTTTCCTGTTTTATAACCCAAACTGTGCAGCACTGTGACATTACCTGGCCTTCTTACTGGTCTCTGCAGTAGCTATAGTGCTGTGCTGCTCTAAAATATATATATTTAAGACATTACGGCTGCCAACATAAGCTACTAAGAGACAGACAAATCCGCACATTAAGGAATGACTCTTCATCAAGGTCCAACTTGTCCATCACTCGGTGACATTACCTGGCTTTCTTACTGGTCTCTGCAGTAGTTAAAGTACTGTGCTGCTCTAAAATAGATATTTTTCAAAAAATGTAAGACCTTACAGATAGGCCCCTCAGACCATGACACAGCCTGGTCATAAAACCCCAGAGAAATCCAAGTTTCCTCCGTTTTAACCCAAACTGTCCAGTGACATAACCTGGTCTTCTTACTGGTCTCTGCAGTAGTTAAAGTATTGTGCTGCTGTAAAATATATATATTTAAGACCTTACAGATAGGCCCTTCAGACCATGACACAGCCTTGTCATAAAACCTGCTGCCAACATGACAGAAACCCCAGAGAAATCCAAGGTCCCTCTGTTTTAACCCAAACTGTCCACTGACATTACCTGGCTTTCTTTCCCTTTACCAGAGACCTCTCTCTCTCTCTCTCTCCCCCCCCCCCCCCTCTCTCTCTCTCTCGCTCCTGCTGCTCTCCCACTCTGCACTGAGTCTGCATTGTTGACCAGCAGCAGCACGGACTAAATATAGTCCAAAAAAAACCACACCGGCTGGGGGATGAGAGCGCAGGAGAAAGACGGAAAGAGAGAGACAGGGAGGGAAGACGGAAACAGAGAGGGAGGGAGAATATAAGACGGAAAGAGAGAGACAGGGAGGGAAGACGGAAACAGAGAGGGAGGGAGAATATAAGACGGAAAGAGAGAGACAGGGAGGGAAGACGGAAACAGAGAGGGAGGGAGAATATAAGACGGAAAGAGAGGGACAGGGAGGGAAGACGGAAACAGAGAGGGAGGGAGAATATAAGACGGAAAGAGAGGGACAGAGAGGGAAGACGGAAACAGAGAGGGAGGGAGAATATAAGACGGAAAGAGAGGGACAGGGAGGGAAGACGGAAACAGAATAGAAGCCAGTACGAGACTTTTGTTTGAACGAAGTCGTAGAACTTTGTCTCGAGATATGTGCAAAGATTAGGAGATAAAAGGAGAGGAGGAGGTGGACAAACACCTACCCTCAGAGTCCTCCGGCTCTCGAGACCCTCGGTTCCCCATGCTCACTGAATTCCTTTTTCCGAATGCAAAAAAAACTAGACGGAAAAAGGAGAGGGGGTTTGAACAGAAACCCCCTCTCTGACTCCTTCCTGTCCTCTCCACAGGTGCCTTCTCAGAGTGACTGCTTTTAACATTCAGCCCTCCCTCTTCCAGCGTGTCTCCCTGACGCTCCTCCCTCTGACCTTCCTGATTCCTCCCCTGCCTTTCACTTCCTTTCCCCCCCGACTTCCTCTCTCCCTCCATTTACAGTATCTGCATGTGATCCAGCCGTACGTACATGTTGCATTGTTACAAAATACAGTGATCAAGTCTTATTAAAACAATCAAATGCTATAATTACTTCATGATTCCTTTACTGCCTTTCACTCTTTTTGGAAAACAGAGAAATGGGTGAG